ACTAAATACTTCCCTTCTCCTTAATTCAGTTTTTTCCCTTTTTAATGGTTGTTTTTCTTTCCATCTCCTAATCTAATCTCCTTTACAGATCTACCTAAATACTTCGCTTCTCATCAATTCAGTTTTTTCCCCTTTGTTAATGGTTGTTTTTCTTTCCATCTCCTAATCGCATCTCCTTTACAGATCTACCTAAATACTTCCCTTCTCCTTAATTCAGTTTTTTTCCATGTTTAATGGTTGTTTTTCTTTTCTTCTCCTAATCTAATCTCCTTTACAGATATACCTAAATACTTCCCTTCTCCTTAATTCAGTTTTTTCCCCTTTTTAATGGTTGTTTTTCTTTCCTTATCCTAATCTAATCTCCTTCTTAAAGATCTACCTAAATACTCCCCTTCTCCTTAATTCAGTTTTTCCCCTTTTTAATGGTTGTTTTTCTTTCCTTCTCCTAATCTAATCTCCTTTACAGATATACCTAAATACTTCCCTTCTCCTTAATTCAGTTTTTTTTCCCTTTTTTAATGGTTGTTTTTCTTTCCTTCTCGTAATCTCATCTCCTGTACAGATCTACCTAAATACTTCCCTTCTCCTTAATTCAGTTTTTTTCCTTTTTAATGGTTGTTTTTCTTTCCATCTCCTAATCTCATCTCCTGTACAGATCAACCTAAATACTTCCCTTCTCCTTAATTCAGTTTTTTCCCTTTTTAATAGTTGTTTTTCTTTCCATCTCCTAATCTAATCTCCTTTACAGATCTACCTAAATACTTCCCTTCTCATTAATTCAGTTTTTTCCCCTTTGTTAATGGTTGTTTTTCTTTCCATCTCATAATCTCATCTCTTGTTCAGATCTACCTAAATACTTCCCTTCTCCTTAATTCAGTTTTTTCCCTTTTCAATGGTTGTTTTTCTTTCCATCTCCTAATCTAATCTCCTTTACAGATCTACCTAAATACTTCCCTTCTCATTAATTCGGTTTTTTCCCCTTTGTTAATGGTTGTTTTTCTTTCCATCTCATAATCTCATCTCTTGTACAGATCTACCTAAATACTTTCCTTCTCCTTAATTCAGTTTTTTTCCTTTTTAATGGTTGTTTTTCTTTCCATCTCCTAATCTCATCTCCTGTACAGATCAACCTAAATACTTCCCTTCTCCTTAATTCAGTTTCCCCCTTTGTTAATGGTTTTTTTTTTCCATCTCCTAATCTCATCTCCTTTACAGATCTACCTAAATACTTCCCTTCTCCTTAATTCAGTTTTTCCCCTGGTTAATGGTTGCTTTTCTTTCCTTCTCCCTCATCTCCTTTACAGATCTACTTAAATACTTCCCTTCTCCTTAATTCAGTTTTTTCCCCTTTTTAATGGTTGTTTTTCTTTCCTTCTCCTAATCTCATCTCCTTTACAGATCTACCTAAATACTCCCCTTTTCCTTATTTCATTTGCCCCTTTTTAATGGTTGTCTTCTTTCCATCTCCTAATCTCATCTCCTTTACAGATCTACTTAAATACTTCCCTTCTCCTTAATTCAGTTTTTTTCCTTTTTAATGGTTGTTTTTCTTTCCTTCTCCTAATCTAATCTCCTTTACAGATATACATCTACTTAAATACTTCCCTTCTCCTTAATTCATTTTTTTTCTTTTTTAATGGTTGTTTTTCTTTCCTTCTCCTAATCTAATCTCCTTTACAGATATACCTAAAAACTTCACTTCTCCTTAATTCAGTTTTTTCCTCTTTTTAATGATTGTTTTTCTTTCCTTCTCCTAATCTCATCTCCTTTACAGATCTACTTAAATACTTCATTTCTCCTTAATTCAGTTTTTTTCCTTTTTAATGGTTGTTTTTCTTTCCTTCTCCTAATCTAATCTCCTTTACAGATCTACTTAAATACTTCCCTTCTCCTTAATTCAGTTTTTTTCCTTTTTAATGGTTGTTTTTCTTTCTATCTCCTAATCTAATCTCCTTTACAGATATACCTAAAAACTTCCCTTCTCCTTAATTCAGTTTCCCCCTTTGTTAATGGTTGTTTTTCTTTCCTTTTCCCTCATCTCCTTTACAGATCTACCTAAATACTTTCCTTCTCCTTAATTCAGTTTTTTTCCTTTTTAATGGTTGTTTTTCTTTCCTTCTCCTAATCTAATCTTCTTTACAGATATACCTAAATACTCCCCTTCTCCTTAATTCACTTTTTCCCCTGGTTAATGGTTGTTTTTCTTTCCTTCACCTAATCTCATCTCCTGTACAGATCTACTTAAATACTTCCCTTCTATTTAATTCAGTTTTTCCCCTTTTTAATGGTTGTTTTTCTTTCCTTCTCCTAATCTAATCTCCTTTACAGATAGACCTAAATACTTCTAGCCAAGGAGAATTGAATACAAGTGGCCAATTTCTTAGACGTTCTACCATAAGTAGAACCATAGTCACACTATGGTTGAGATTTACCAGAGCAGTGTAGATAGATAGATACGACCTACACGTGTACCTGTGGTAACATGAATAAGAAATTGGACAATTGAGGGGTCAATAGGGTTTCCGTACACTTTGCTGAGACGTTTTTGGACTGCTGGAGAACTAGTTTTTGAGTAACAACAATAATAAAGATTGTAAACAATAACACAAATGATAAACAGACATTTGGTGCATCTCTGAGCCCGAAATTTATAAGAGTATCGTTGAACAAAACTCCCGAAATTTCTTTTTGGGGTCTTAACATTTGTGTAGATTTTGATTTAAGAGATCCGTAAAAAAGAGAATATAAACAAACTGAAAAAAATAATATTTCATTTCAAGAATATTGATATCCACAAAACTGCCTAAACCCATTCGTAAAACCCGGGTTCTAAAACTGGTTTTCATAACGATACCCTGGCTTAAGTTTTGGGCTCTGGCGTTAGATGAAGATTCACCGTATACTAACTCATGTTTGTATACATTAGATCGGCTGCCTTTATTATTGCAAAGCATGTATATTGTATAATCATAGGGTAGGGCGAACCGCGTCAGACGGTCAGTTATATCTCTCTTCTATTCCGTACTCCCTGGTTCTAGCTGGAGTGTTGCGTTTTTGTCAAGTAATAGACTACTAATTGGGCACTGATGAATATTATATTTACAAAGACTCGTCCAATCAAAGTCCAGCAAGGATAGCAATAAATAGATATGTAGGAGAACATGAGAGAGACTTCCTTACGGAGCCAGAGAACCTATGGTTTACAAAACATAAAAGGAAAGGATAGACGTAAGAGAAAAGACAGAGGAACAAAAAAAAATTGAAAATAATTTTGTTTAAAAAAGATGTCTGACGGAGAATAGGACAGAAGGACACAACTCAATTGTATCTGAAGTTCCATTTTTCTTTAAGCCATTAGTAATTTAACGCAAATGCGTTTAACAAAAATATAAAATCATTATCTTTTATCCAAACTAAATAGTTAAGATAAAGAAAATGAGGAAGCAAGATCAACCCGCGTAAAACAAGTGTCCACTATGGTATACATGGTAATCCATAATCAAGTATTTAAGACAACGGCGCAATGCAAAAAGTTGGGGTTCACGTCTTTTAATCAATCTTGAGTAATACAAATAGTAGAAAGACTTCAATAACAAACTGGAAATAGGTTTACTTGTATGCGTGAGCTTGTGCCCACATCCCTTGATAAAAATAAATTATTAAAGTTAACTATTTCTAAATTGGGACAATATTTGGTTAACTATTTCTAAATTGGGACAATATTTGGTTAACTATTTATACATTTGGGCCATATTTGGTTAACTATTTCTAAATTTGGACAATATTTGGTTAACTATTTCTAAATTGGGACCATATTTGGTTAACTATTTCTAAATTTGGACCATATTTGGTTAACTATTTCTAAATTTGGACAATATTTGGTTAACTATTTCTAAATTTGGACAATATTTGGTTAACTATTTCTAAATTTGGGCCATATTTGGTTAACTATTTCTAAATTTGGGCCATATTTGGTCGTATAAATATTTGAGAAAAACGATGTATCGGCTTTTTGACTTTTAATCTAATAAAACGTTGTTTTTATATAAATTATCGATCATGTTTGAACGGCTATTTTACTACAGCGCTTGAGGATCCATTACTGGAAAGTCGTCGTTTTATCAATGTAGTTGATAAAGACTTCTTAATTCATCGATTTACAAATGTTAAAATTGAAAAGTTTATTAATTGTATAGATTCCATGATGTATGCGACCAACACTTCCCTCTCTATTAGAAGTTAATTTATTCAAGTTTTCTAGTTTTATCCAGTTTACTGTATCTTCACAATAAACGTACTTTGCTATAAAATACATTTACTAATTATAACATAGTATCTCTTTAACCTGTGAGGGGGAAGGGATGGAGTTGGGGGTTGGAGGGGGTGGCTCATAACGGGGAAATCGCTGGAAAGGATTTGAGTCTTTGACACAAACTCTGATTTTCTAATCCTTATACCTTTACCTTTGATATTTCAAACTATGAATTCTGTTGGATAAAATAATCTAAGTTTATAATATCAAAGGTTTACACAAAAGGTTGCATAGATATAGGGATCTGAACATTTGAGTTTGTGGCAAAATCTCAATTCCTTTATTTTGAAGATTCGGTTTACGCCAACTTGGTAACTTTGAATGTATAATTTCAATTTGAAAACAGCGCCAATTACACTTTTGACTTTTTGTGAATTTCACGTGTGCTTTATCGTAAATGGGAAGGGTGCAATGTGCGGATTAGAAGTGTGTGTATGATGATTTGTTTTGTATACTGAAAACAGAAGAGCGCACAGGTAAACGAGGGCCTATACCGGGCCTAGTACTCCGAGGTATACCTAAATATCATCCAGTTAAACTAAAACCTAGTACTCCGAGGTATACCTAGATATCACCAAGTTAAACCAAAACCTAGTACTCCGAGGTATACCTAGATATCACCAAGTTAAACCAAAACCTAGTACTCCGAGGTATACCTAGATATCACCAAGTTAAACCAAAGCCTAGTACTCCGAGGTATACCAAGATATCACCAAGTTAAACCAAAACCTACTACTCCGAGGTATACCTAGATATCACCAAGTTAAACCAAAACCTAGTACTCCGAGGTATATCTAGATATCACCAAGTTAAACCAAAGCCTAGTACTCCGAGGTATACCTTTATGTTATTCAGTTAAACCAAAGCTTTGTGCTTCTAGGCATATCTGGATATTACCCTGTTTATCCAAGTCTTTGAACTTAAAGGCACAACGAGATATCAACAAGTTAAACCAGGGCCTAGTACTTCGGGATATACCCAAGATATCACCCAGTTAAACCACAGCCTAGTACTCCAATTTGGCGACTTCCCTTACCTACCTAGATATCACCTTTTTAAACCAGGGTCTAGTATTCTGGGGTATACTTATATTTCACCCTTTTATTCCAAGTTCTTAAAGGTATATCTAGATATCACCCTTTAAACCAGGATCTAGTACTTCTAGGTATACTTAGATATAATCCAGTTAAACCAGAGTCTATTACTTCTAGGTATACCTAGATATAACCCTTTGAACCAGGGTCTAGTACTTCTAGGTATATCTAGATATCACCCTTTAAACCAGGGTCTGGTACTTCTAGGTATACCTAGATATCACCCTTTAAACCAGAGTCTAGTATTTCTAGGTATACCTAGATATCATTCAGTTAAACCAGAGTCTAGTACTTCTAGGTATACCTAGATATCATTCAGTTAAACCAGGGTCTAGTACTTCTAGGTATACCTAGATATCACCCTTTAAACCAGGGTCTAGTACTTCTATGTATATCTAGATATCACCCTTTAAACCAGGGTCTGGTACTTCTAGGTATATCTAGATATCATTCAGTTAAACCAGAGTCTAGTACTTCTAGGTATATCTAGACATCACCCTGTACACCAGGGTCTAGTACTTCTAGGTATATCTAGATATCACCCTTTAAACCAGGGTCTAGTACTTCTAGGTACATCTAGATATCACACTTTAAACCAGGGTCTGGTACTTCTAGGTATACCTAGATATCACCCTTTAAACCAGAGTCTAGTACTTCTAGGTATACCTAGATATCATCCAGTTAAACCAGAGTCAAGTGCTTTTAGACATACATAGATATCTGCCTACTAAATTAGGTTTATTGTTTAGAGTGTACTGCTCTAAATGAAAGTATTCAAAGAATGCTTAAAGTGATTTCTAATAAATAACTAAAGAGGTTGATTGGATTTGTGACTCAAATATTGACTAAATTGATTAAGTTGGGAATCTACCTAATATTATTATATTATAAAGCACTGAAACCCGGTCTTGCATACGTCCAGGATATTGTGTAAGAAATTTTTTTTTTTTCCCCTTGCAATTTGGTTGGACAAAAACAAGCATTAAAAGCGTGAAAACCAATTTTTACAAAAGCAGATTTTTTTGGTAAAATTTTAGCAATTATTTTCTTTAATGCAGGTAAAATTTTTAAAAACTATTTTTTAGGTCGGGTTATTCTTTACACAAAAAATAATAATTTTCATGATATCCTGCAGACCTCAGTATATACTTGGCAACCTACATAATTTTAAAATATACAGCAAACTTTTGAGCTTGGCCGTGTATTGATTTGACCTTATCTACACAGAACAAATTTTTTAAAGCTCTGCGATAAAATTTCAAAGCTATAAGGACTTGTTTTAATTCAATTGTTTGCAATTGGAAAAATTGTTATTGAATCTTCGCAATATAAAAGTGTGCAAAGTTTTTTTCTTTTTTGTTGTACCCAGTGTAAGATAACAAAACAGTTATTTTATTTTTTCTCGCTTCTTAAAGATAAAATTGTATTAAAATATATACCAGTGATTATTTTAAATAAATCCAGCAACATTTTTTATTTTCCTTGTTTTGCTTTAGCCTAAATTGCATTTGTTGTTTGTTCAAAGATTTACCTTTAACCAAAGTTTGGAAATGTTTAAGAAAAAAAAGGCAACTTATGCAAATGTTGTGTTTACATAATGCAGTATTTGAATACATCTCTGTGAGTTGAAACTAACGATAAGAAATTATCTTTACCTCGGTAATCTAGAATATAGTACAGATTTTACCTTAAACAGAGAAAACACGGAGAACAGCACAATCGGATCTTTTTGATATTTTTTACAATAGCAGAAAAGTTTTTTTTCCACGCAGTAATGTTATATTTTATTATTAAAGTGTAAAAAAGTGCCTAGTGTAACAGTAATGTTATATTTTATTATTAAAGTGTAAAAAGTGCCTAGTGTTACAGTGAAACTAAACTAAAGGTACTGAAGACGTAATCTCAAGTAATCCTCTATATATTATTTCACATGTTCGATTCTCACCGGTATCCTTTAAACTTTATCTATGAAACAGTTAGGAAGCTAGATAGCTTGAAAATGTGAAATTCTGATCATTTCCTTCAATATTTCTGCGCTACAGAGATATCTCAATTAAGAACATTTAATTGGTTTTCAAATCGAAAAACTAAGATATTATCACAGAAAAGTTTATAGGGTACCATTGTGAAAATGACATGCCACTGTATAAATCAATTGTCACTTTAAATAACATCTCCAGCCATTTGAATAAATGTTTTATCAATTCATCTTTTCATTGCTTGATATGTTTAGAAATAAAATGTTGAAAAGGATGGAAAACTCCGATATAACTGAGCAGCTGGAGTGCCAAGGGAACCGTGAGAAACTTAAAAAAAATCCAATTTTGAAATTGAAAATGTTTCAAAATAATGTTATTCCAATACAGGGTGTTTCGGAATTCCTATCTTTGACCTGTAAAAAAACACAGTTTTAAAAGATGATAAATCTATGATTCCAGTGGCAGTTTTTCAATCATAAATCAACACAAACATAGTAGAGATCCTGAATTCATCATTATCTCGTTGCCTCCCTTTTTTATATTTTATAAACACTTCTCATAAATGAATACAAGTTTTCAAAGACATTCTAGTGGATAAACTTCTCTAACTTGAAGACTAAAGTTTATACCATTTCAGTTATATTCTAAAGTTTCAAGTTTTCTCAGGGTAGTACATCGACAGTGAGAAACATGTTAGTTCGGATACAAAGGGTTGAGAAGGTTGGAGAGGAAGATGTTGTGTTAGCTCAAGCAAAATGGAGAACTCTTGATATTCTCGTTCTTCCACATTCTATTATCTTTAGTGACAGGCGCATCTTGAATCTTATATTCAGATCTTTAATTTCCTCAAGATGTCACATTTAGGTTTACAAGAATCTTGTGATTATTACATAGACTCTCAAACAGCTCTCATACAGTAATAACCAGAAAACATTGGATTAGTAAGACGGCATTATAGCATGAATACACAAGCAAACGTTTTAATAGACACTTATTAAATCACTAATTTAGTGAAATGGGTCCGTTTTTCTGGTTATCACTGTACCTGCCCTCAAACACGTCATATGCAGTTTTTTTTCTATTCATGAGGGCGGATTTAATGAATAGCGAAAATTAATTGAACTAGATCTGGCTGGTTAAACTACCTTTTCACTGCACTCTTGGCTAACGTAAAGTTCAGTAGTTTCTAATTCTATTTATTAAATCCGACCCCAGGCCATTTTTTATAAATCTTTGAATATTTGTTTTCAGTTTAGAAAACAAGGTGCATTATAAGCAGAGACGGAGTAGATGAAGGAGAAGGAGGAGAGGGAGTAGAAGGAGGAGATGGAGGAGATGGAGGAAGAGAGGAAGTTTATATATCCGGAGAATCCTATATTCAACATGGTAGGGTTGATAACCTACTCTGGATCCAGGCTATACCTAAGATAAACACTAGGTATTGATTCATTAATATTCTTAAATAAACTGTGTTTTAGGGCGCTTCGCGACCCTTTTGTCTAATAACAATTTTATCTTTTAAATACGTAGCTTGGGTTGCAATTTTTTTGTCATAAACCTTCCCTGGGTCATGTCACAAAATTTGAGCCAAATCGGTTCAGCTGTTTTGACGGTTCTTGGACACAGACAGACAAACTAACCAACAAACAAACCAATTCTAAATATAGAAATCTATATAGAGTTGTAGGGATGTGGGGTGGAGATATTATTCGGGACGAGGTTAATTATCCGGCAATTATCCAATTCCAACTTTAAGTTAATTAAAATTGACCAGATTCAACATGATTTACGAGAGCCTCCATTGTCAAGAAGGAATGAAAACCTTTATACCTTTATATCTACCCATCCACATTGCCCAACCTGTCAAAAAATTCATAAATCACAAGACAGAAAAATGTCCAAAATTTATTTCATTATAGATAAAACGTCAATAACTGTTCAACTATTTTTTTACGGGAAGTACTTAAACACTTATCATTTTAATTATTTCTTAAAAGAATCGAGTTTTTGCCAATTTTTTCTTCAAATATCGTTACAACCCAATTTCGTAGGTCATGTAGTGTAAGTTTGAAATAGCAAAGGCTTACATATTCAGGTTGCAAAGAATTAAGGATTAGAAAATGTATGTTTCAAGTAAAAACTCAATTCCTAACTTAGACTGCCATTCTCTTTTATTTTAAATATTTAAGAACTCTTATCACTTTTTAATTTTAATCTTGACAGTTAGTGTCTATTGTTTTACCGTGAATAAATATAGCGTGCTTTATATTTTATATTCTAAAGAACATGAGTTTTGAATTAATGATAAATTATATTGTTTTTCTCTAGGAGGGTTTATATCCAGGTATCTGTGGAGGGGGAGAGGACGGATATAGAGAATATTCACAACGCTTTATCCAGGCAGGGTTGGATTGAAATATGAGCAGTTTCTCAATCCCATTGTTCACAGATTTAAACTGCAATTCGAAAAAAAAATTAATTCTTGAATTAAAACTAGAAATAAAATACAAAAAGATATGAAAGTGCAGTTTTAACAGTGTACTTCAATGTGTAGCAAACTTACTTAACATCAAGAGCTTTAGTCTTTTCATTCGCTATACTTCTTAGTTCACATGTGAATTCATTGGTTTGATCCCATCACACACACACATGAAATTATTTAATTTGAAGAAAACAGTTTGACTAAAGTTATGACTTTAAATAGTCCAATGAACATGATACAGAGCAACTTTGATTGATTTTCAAGATAATGATAAAATCTGTTGGCTTTATATTGCAAGAGCAAATACGCTTAAGCATGCTTTAATGTCGTCTCTAATTCCAAAGTTTTATGGGTCTCTCTGTGCGATAATTTTTTTCCAATTTCTTCCTAAAGGTTTAGGAAACCAGGGAGGAAACCTCTCCTTGTTTTTATAAATCCATTCTCAGGTATTTTTTCAGATTTTCTTCTAAGTTTACAGTTTACAGTTTACAGTTTACAGTTTACAGTTTACAGTTTACAGTTTACAGTTTACAGTTTAAAGTTTACAGTTTACAGTTTACAGTTCACTGTTTACAGTTTACAGTTTACAGTTTACAGTTTATCAGTTCACAGTTTACAGTTTACAGTTTACAGTTTACAGTTTAGATTTTACAATTTACATCTTACAGTTTACAGTTTACATCTTATAGCTAACAGTTTATTGCTCAAAGTTGTATTTGATGGATATATTCAAAATAAATTGATCGTCCCTGATGAGTGTATATTGTAGGGACGAGACGAGGTTTGGAGAAATGGAAGACTGTTGCAGGAATAGTCTCCGGGTCGGGGTTAGAGTACAAGGAAATCATAACCGAGAAGAGAAACCATGCTCGTGATCTAATACAGAACATGGACCTGGACCTTTACTCTGGGGTTGTAACTGTATCCGGAGATGGTCTGATACACGAGGTTTAGATTCAAACCTATCCTAGCATTAATTAAGTTTAAAGTAGAGATTTAGGTTTAAAGTTAGATTGTGGTTTCATGTTTAGTCTCTAATGCTTGGTTCCGAAATCCTCTAAGATCCTGGAATAAGCTGAGCTTTCTTCACATAAATCCTGTTTAGGTTTTGAATGGATTGTCGATGCGAGAAGATTGGGAGGAGAGGAGAAGAAAATTCCCAATTGGTTTTGTTCCAGGTTAATTTCCAATGTTTGGCCTAACATCTTTCTTCTATTTATAGAAATGCAAATTCTGCTCTAACTTTCGTTTTGCACAAACTAAAGAGTGTCCAGATTTTACAGGGGATCCCAAAAAACAACTTGTAAGGTATTTTAGCTCTCATAATGGTTACATTTTTAGTTTTTGTGGAGTTAACAAATTTTAGATAAAATTGGGGAATTTTTGTCAGTTTGAGGTTGGTCACTTAAAGAGCTTTTTTGGGAGACCTGTACTATTTTTCTGATTTATCTCAAAGTGTGAGTGGGAATATTATCTTTTTTTCTCTAGGTTAGGGTGGGTATATAATCTCTATATTTTCTTGGCTAGAGTGGGAGTGGCAATATAATATTTACATTCTCTAGGTAGGAGTGGGAGTATAATCTCAATATTCTCCTAGGTAGGAGTATAATCTCCATGTTCTCTAGGTTGGAGTAAATCTCTATGTTCTCTAGGTGGGATTGGGAGTAAAATCTCTATGCTCTCAAGGTGGGAGTATACTCTCTAAATTCTCTAGGTGGGAGTGGGAGTATAATCAATATGTTCTCTAGGTGGAATTATATCTCTATATTCTCGAGGTGGAGTGGGAGTATAATCTCTATGTTTTCTAGGTGGAAGTGGAAGTATGATCTCAATATTTTCTTGGTGGGAGTGGGAGTATAATCTCTATATTCTCTAGGTGGGAGTGGGTGTATAATCTCTTTGTTCTCTAGGTAGGAGTGGGTGTATAATCTCTTTATCCTCTTGGTGGGAGTGGGAGTATAATCTCTTTATTCTCTTGGTGGGAGTGGGAGTATAATCTCTATTTTCTCTAGGTGGAAGTGGTAGTATAATCTCTTTATTCTCTAGGTGGAATTGGGAGTATAATCTCTTTATTCTCTAGGTGGGAGTGGGAGAATAATCTCTATACTCTCTAGGTGGAAGTGGGAGTATAATCTTTATATTCTTTAGGTGGGAGTATAATCTCTATATTCTCTAGGTGGGAGTATAAGCTCTATATTCTTTAGGTAGAGTGGGAGCATAATTTCTATAGTCTCTAGGTGGGATTGGGTGTATAATAGCTATATTTTCTTGGTGGGAGTGGGAGTATAATATCTATATTCTCTAGGTGGGAGTGGGATTATATACTCTTTATTCTGTAGGTGGGAGTGGGAGTATAATCTCTATATTCTCTAGGTGGGAGTGGGAGTAAAATCTTTATATTCTCTAGGTGGGAGTGAGAATATAACCTCTATATTCTCTAGGTTGAAGTGGGAGTATAATCTCTATATTCTCTAGGTGGGAGTGGGAGTATATACTCTATAATCTCTATATTCTCTAGGTGGGAGTGGGAGTATATACTCTTTATTCTCTAGGTGGGAGTGGGAGTATATACTCTATAATATTCTCTAGGTGAGAGTGGGAGTATAATCTCTATATTCTCTAGGTGGGAGTGGGAGTATATACTCTATATTCTCTAGGTGGGAGTGGGAGTATATACTCTATATTCTCTAGGCGGGAGTGGGAATGCTATCCACTGTTCCCTGCTCTACCAGCAAGATGAAGATTTCCGTGATGAACTCCTCGTATCCTCCCTTAATCTATCCAGGAATATATTCATTAACAGTTTTTCTCATACTTAGCTTTTGTTTATTGCAGACAGGGCAGCCAGGCCCGCAGCTAGAAATTTGTAAGGGGGGGGGGCACAAATGTTAGAAATCCGAAAAATAGGTAATTAGGGGGCGTTTCCACAAGGGGGGGGGCGTTTCCCATTTTCCAGGGAGGGAGACGTCCGCCCCCTTAGGCGGATTTTTCCAGTCAGTGGTTAAAAACAAAGCCCCCTTTAAACAAGTGTCATTTTTTGCATTTTTCTTTAAAATATTTATAAGAAAATAATGTTATCTGTTTTCACTTCAACTTTATGAAACTGGTGTTTTTGTTTTTTTTTAAACCGATTTCTTTTTCTTCTTCTTGCCTAATATTGAATTATTGACACTTTTATATTTCTGATTTATTTCCTAATGTGTAATTTCAGTTTATACACAAAGCAGGGGCGGAAACAGGATTTAAGTGTGGGGGGGTGCCAGATTTATTTCGGAACAAAAAAATCAAGATTTAGGAACCAAAAGACCCGCCGCAAATTTTTTTTTTTGACCTGAAAGACACAAAAAGAGTCAAAATTAATGACTAAAGACTAAAAAGTAGATTTTTAACTTATCACACATTATAGTTTATTAAGATAGATATCTTTACTGTTTTGCACTAGGGTTTCTTTCCCTTATGTGCTATTGAGAAGTTATTCTGAAAATAGGATCAAAAAATTCCAAAAATGGAATAAAAAACATCAAGATGCGAAGTGTATTTTTATTTTCTATTGAAAAAGTTACAAATTTGACTAGAACTGATGATACCATTATTCAATAAATATTATAATTCCATTAAATAATCAAATAACTTGAAAAAGGCTACTCCTCCCCCTGAATCTTTCAGGGGGGTGCAAAGGTCCTGCCGCCCCCTGTATCTGCCCCTGCACAAAAGAGAACAAACACCCTGTAATATGAACTAAGGTGTTGATGGTTCTATAAACGAGTGTTTTTGCTTTGGTAGTAGGACGGATAAGAATGATATATTAGAGGAGTTTCCAAACCTGGAGATTATTTAGAGTGTGAAACTGAGGAGAAAAGTTTTCTATCAATGTTTGGAGTTGCCTGGGGGCTTGTTCCAGACTGTGATCTAGGATCAGAGGAAAACTGCTCAGTTTGCACATGTACTGATTCTTTTATACGTACTGAACCTTGTACATTTACTTAACCTTGTAAACGTACCACATCTTGTACATGTACTGAACCTTGTACAAATAATTATACGCGTATTATAACTGTACATTTTTTGCACCTAGCATATGTACTGTACCTTGCGTGTATACTGATTCTTGTACATATTCTTAATCTGTGTACTTTGTACTCTTCAACTTCTTTAGAATTATCTTGTATATATTATTCATTTTGTACATCTTCTTCATCTTGTACAATGTACATATCCTTCATCCCTAATCGTGTACACATCATTAATCGTGTACATATCCTTTATCGTGTACATATCCTTTATCGTGTACATATCCATTATCTTGTACATATTCTTTATCTTGTAAATATCCTTAATCTAGTACACATCATTAATCGTGTACATTTTCTTAATCGTGTACGCATCCTTAATCATGTAGATATCCATTATCTTGAACACATTCTTTATCTTGTACATCTTAATCGTGTACAAATTCTTTATCGTTTACATTTCCTTAATCGTGTACGCATCCTTAATCGTGTACTGGATTTATCTTGAACACATTCTTTATCTTGTACATAATCATTATCATCATTTATATCATGAACTCACCTGAGCAGTAAATTAAACTAGGTGATCCGTTGGGCCGGTTTCTTGCGTGTATATATCTGGTTACTTTTCCGGATACTGAATCCAACCTTCTACAGGGGATATGTTCATTATCTCCCACTACAACCTGATACAGAGAAACCTTATCCTTTACCTGATATTCATCAACCTGTTCCTAAACATTGGACTTCTATACAAGGTATATAACCTGTTCCTAGACATTGGACTTCTATACAAGGTATATAACCAGTTCCTAACCATTGGACTTTTATACATGGTATAACATGTTCTTAAACATTGGACTTCTATACAAGGTATATAACCTGTTCTTAAACATTGGACTTTTATACAAGGTATATAACCTGTTCCTAAACATTGGACTTATATATACAAGGTACAGGGTTACTCACAAAGGATGATAAATTTATACTCTCCGTTTACATATATTCATGATTCCTGGCAACAATTCACTACTTTCTTTCTTTCCCAATCTTCAAATAAGTCTTTTAAAAACCAAATTCAAGGCACAAGACTGAACTATGACTTGGGATCGTCACATGTGAAGAGTTTCAAGTAGTATGCAGTCTTATTGTTTGTGGCTAACCCTGCATATCATGGAGAAGGGTTAAAAGTTAGGGGAGGGGGGTCTTGACCGCCTCAGGATATAGATTGGATAAGGAAAGATTATAACAAGACAAGACTAAAAAGCNTGTCTCCTTATTCTATGCAGGGTTAAAAGCTTGAACAATCACTTTATTTTTAATTAAAAAATTGATAATATATGTAAAAGTATGTTTAATGAATTTTACCATTACGTTTATCAACATGTTTAGGAGATTTTTTAACAGTGTACGCTCTTCGACAAAGCTGGGTAGATTATTCTACACAAATCCTAGACGATGCAAGACTAGACGATGGTATCATACATCTAGGTATATCAATATAAAAACCACCTTGGCAATCATGAATTAATTTTTTATAGATCTACATTTTTGGGATTGCGGTGCTTTAAAGTTTTAGAAGGTAAAGCTTAACACGATATAGACAAACTTTACTCCAAAAACACGTCGTGCCAAAAATAAGTGTTTTAGGTAATTTTATGAAATGATTGTTCACTTCTTTATATGACAAGATTTTTCACAAAGCATTTTCAATTCTATTTTCATTCAATTTAAAAAACTTGTTCAAGAATTATCCTTTTTTGGAAAATTCTGGAACCAATTAAACTTTATGGCACAATGGTTACTTTAAAAGTTTAAAACAGTGCTACACTTAAGTTAAGTAAGCATGAATGATAAAGTGCATAAAAGTTTAAAACAGTGCTATACTTAAGTTAAGTAAGCATGAATGATAAAGTGCATAATAGTTTTGAAATTTGTTTTTATTTTCAGTAATAGTTCGAGTTTTGTCTCGAGTTGAGATGCTTAATTGGTTTCTAGGTCTAGGAAACCATAAAGATACTAATCATGGTTTAACCACCATTATTCCAGTATCTGCATTCAGGTTAGTCATAGTTAGTTATTTATATCATTATTCCAGTATCTGCATTCAGGTTAGTCATAGTTAGTTATTTATATCATTATTCCAGTATCTGCATTCAGGTTAGTCACAGTTAGTTATTTATATCATTATACCAGTATCTGCATTCAGGTTAGTCATAGTTAGTTATTTATATCATTATTCCAGGATCTGCATTCAGGCTAGTTATAGTTAGTTATTTATATCATTATTCCAGGATCTGCATTCAGGCTAGTTATAGTTAGTTATTTATATCATTATTCCAGTATCTGCATTCAGGTTAGTCATAGTTAGTTATTTATATCATTATTCCAGTATCTGCATTCAGGTTAGTCATAGTTAGTTATTTATATCATTATACCAGTATCTACATTCAGGTTAGTCATAGTTAGTTATTTATATCATTATTCCAGGATCTGCATTCAGGTTAGTCATAGTTAGTTATTTATATCATTATTCCTGTATCTGCATTCAGGTTAGTCATATTTAGTTATTTATATCATTATTCCAGATAGTTAGTTATTTATATCATTATTCCAGTATCTGCATTCAGGTTAGTCATAGTTAGTCATTTATATCATTATTATCATATTATTATCATGATATTATAATAGTTGTTTATTTCATTATTATAATATTACTAAAATTGTTTATAATATTTATATTTATATGAGAACAATCTTTAAGTGTATTTGATGTTGTTACAAAGTAAATAGTGTAAGTTACAAATTACTTATTAAGTAAGTTGGTCTATGCATGTATTGCACTATTGCTGTGTCTCGTGTTTATAAGAATATTTAGAGTCATAACTTGAATCTAACAGTTTGCTAAATCCACAGTTTTCTTGTATTCACTGTATCTATATATACTAAGTTGTAATCTCTGTTTGTCTGTCTGTTTGTTTGTTTGTCCGATCATAACTCAGAAACCTCCGGACCAATTTGCCTTAAATTTTGATTGGGGAACTCAGGATTCCCAGGGGAATGTTCTTAGCTTGGGTTTAAGATTCTAAGTTGAGTGGGTCGACTTTAATAGCGAAAATGTAAGTTAATTCCTGATAAAATCGTTAAGTGCGTGGAAACGGCATGAGTAACTTTTATTAACCTGGGTATCGCTGGGTTTCCAAGCTAGTAGTAAATAATATTAATATATTTATAGGTTTGACATGGAAAATATTAATTTTTTTCTAGGTTCGAGATGGAAAATATTAATATTTTTCTAGGTTCGAGATGGAAAATATTAATATTTTTCTAGGTTCGAGATGGAAAATATTAATATTTTTCTAGGTTTGAGATGGAAAATATAATTATTTTTCTAGGTTCGAGATGGAAAATATAAATATTTTTCTAGGTTTGAGATGGAAAATATTAATATTTTTCTAGGTTCGAGATGGAAAGTATAAATATTTTTATAGGTTTGAGATGGAAAATATTAATATTTTCATAGGTTTGAGATGGAAAATATAAATATTTTTCTAGGTTCGAGATGGAAAATATAAATATTTTTCTAGGTTTGAGATGGAAAATATTAATATTTTTCTAGGTTCGAGATGGAAAATATTAATATTTTTCTAGGTTCGAGATGAAAAATATAAATATTTTCCATCTCAAACCTAGAAAAATATTAATATTTTTCTAGGTTTGAGATGGAAAATATTAATGATCCCTTGACGGTTGATGCTGAGCGATTAACCTGTAAAAAAGTTCAGGTAAATAATATTTCAGCCGAGCTGACAACTTTTCAATGAGTTGAAATGGGCATCGTTTGAGGTCCGTTTCCAATCATTCAAGGTTAATGGATTTTTAGGAGGCTCCACAAGAAATCTGATGTGTTAGACAAAGGAATGGAGTCTTTGCAACAAATCCCAATTTTTTAATACCCATATATTTACAAACAAATTATGTAAACCTTTGAATTTCAAACTTTGATTGTTTAATAAAAGAGAAGTCATAGTTTGAAATATCTAAGGTCTTCAACATTGGGTTGTTAAGATATAAGGATTTAAAAATCAGAGTTTGTGGCAAAGACTCAATTCCTTTCAAAATTGTATGTTTTGTAAGTTTGCTTTTGTGACTTTATGCAAGATCTTTACTCTGACCAGAGATATCCACCAAAACGATTTTTCAAAATAATTGTTGAAATCTTTTTCTAGATTATCAGCTTTTGGTGTGTGTCCAGCATCTCACATTTAAATCCAAATGCCTAGAATATATAAAAACGGACCTCAAGACGATGCCGTTCCATATCAATAAGATTAACTGTGATCTTAGACCAAAGCCAAACTGAACCCTTTAATTTTAAAGTAGAATTCGTTTGATTTGTAATTATTGTAATGTGTCAGAGTCTGCAATATTTCCTGAGGTCAAAAATTGCTTGATCCCTTATTTTTTTATTGCCACTTCCGTTTGGTTCAGAAAACAGTTAAGTTTATTTAAACTTTGGGTTTGACAAAAGTTACGAATAAATGATTGATCCTTGATTCACAGCACACAGTTTGACCTCTGACCACTTATTGATTTCAGCTGTGAACACATACAGAAAATTTAAAATTTCTTTCCCTTTTCGTCACACTAGACAATTTAAAATTATGATTTTATTAAATTTCGTTTTCACACAAACAATCCCAGTTTGATAATTCTAAAATTCACAAATTTTGTATTTATCTTTAGAATGTGAATAAAGGAATTGAGTCTTTGCCACAAACTCTGATTTTCTAATCACTATATCTTTGGAACCAAATTTTGCAGACCTTAGATATTTCAAACTATGAATTCTGTTAGATCAAATAATCTGAGTTTGAAATATCAAAGGTTTACAACATCGGGTTCTAAAGATATTGGGGTTTAAATATTTGATTTTGTTACAAAGACTCAATTCCTTTGTATTTAAAGGCAATAAAAATATTTGCCAGGGCCGTATTATTCCTTCTGGACTCAGACTCCTAGTTAAGGAGGATACACAGGAGAACCAGGTGAATCAGGAGAACCAGGAGAACAAGGAGAACAAGGAGAACAAGGAGAACAAGGAGAAAAAGGAGGACAAGGAGAACAAGAATACCCAGGAGAATCAGGAGAACAAGAATACCCAGGAGAACCAGGAGAACATAGACAACCTTAGATGACTTCAGGGTTGGTCTAAAATGATGGAATTGAGAAGATGAACTTTACACAAACAATGGAAATTCCAACTCAATTTAATAAATATTTTTGAAATACTTATATTTTGCTAATTATCATGACATTTATTGTTTGCATCCGGTAATTATCTCATCTTTTGTGGTTAACACTGTTTGCACTAGAAGCTGATTTTTACAAAGAAAGAAAGATGTTATTTTATTTTTGTTTCACACTTTTATCTTCTTCCCTTTTCTTAATAACTTTTTTTTTTTCGGAAACTTTATTTACTTTATTAAGTTAAGCTCACACACTTAAACTGTAGACTTAAAGGCACTTTACATTACATAATCACAAGGACTTTACAAAGACTTTACAATACATGATCACTATAAGACTTCACAATTTACATCGTCTGATTACAAGGACTTTATCTAATTAAAAAAGTCAATAAAAAGAACTTCATTGTTTTTTTAAATAACTTAATCGATTTATATTGTCTAATTGCAAGGGCTATACAATACTTATTGTCATATTAAGGATTTATCGATTCATATTGTCTAATTGCAAGGACTTAATACAATTCATATTGTCTAATTGCAAGGACTTAATACAATTCATATTGTCTAATTGCAAGGACTTAATACAATTCATATTGTCTAATCACAAGGGCTTAATACAATTCATATTGTCTAATCACAAGGATAATACAATTCATATTGTCTAATCACAAGGGCTTAATACAATTCATATTGTCTAATCACAAGGATTTAATACAATTCATATTGTCTAATCACAAGGACTTAATACAATTCATATTGTCTAATCGCAAGGACTTAATACAATTAATATCAACTGTTCACAAGGATTTTATACAATTAATAATAACTAATCACATGGACTTAAAACTTCAAGATGGCTGATTATAAGAACTTAACAATTTAAATTATCTAAAAATATATAAATATGTTAAATGTATATACACTAAAATGTCTTAAAATTACAATTAAATTCTTTAAACGTTAGATTAATAGAATCCCCCTGTAGAAACAATTTGTGCTAATTAATGATTATATAAGAAGGAATGATATAATAATAAAAGCGTTTTAGATTATCATAAATCAAATTAACAATTAGGGTCTAACACAATTCAGTTTGCGCTCACTTTAACTGGAGCAACATACTGTTAGTTTGCGCTCACTTTAGCTGGAGCAACATACTGTTAGTTTGCGCTCACTTTAGCTGGAGCAACATACTGTTTAGTTTGAGCTCACTTTAGCTGGAGCAACATACTGTTTAGTTTTCTCTCACTTTAGCTGGAGCAACATACTGTTTAGTTAGCTCTCACTTTAGTTGGAGCAACATGCTGTTTAGTTTTCGCTCAATTTAGCTGGAGCAACAAACTGTTTAGTTTGCTGTTACTTTAGCTGGAGCAACATACTGTTTAGTTTGTGTTCTGTTCACTATAGTTGAAGCAACATACTGTTCAGTTTGCGCTTACCTTAGCTGGAGCAACATACTGTTTAGTTTGTGCTTACTTTAGCTGGAGCAACATACTGTTTAGTTTGCGCCCAATTTAGCCTGAGCAACATACGGTTTAGTTTGTGTTCTGTTCACTATAATTGGAGCAACATACTGTTTAGTTTGCGCTCACTTTAGCTGGAGCAACATACTGTTTAGTTTGCTGTTACTTTAGCTGGAGCAACATACTGTTTAGTTTGCGGTTACTTTAGCTGGAGCAACATACCATTTAGGCATAGCACGCAGATCTTCTGGTCCCCGAATACTATACTTCTAAAACAAATAATTTAGAATGCACTCCATGATAAACTTAAGAAATTGAATGAAGGGTCTGTAGGCATGTCCGATTCACAATGGTACCCTTTAAAGCTCTGCTCTATCTGTTCAAGCATCCATGAGGTTTTCTCTAATAAAGTGACTTGCGGATTTATGCTGCAGAGAAAGTGTAGGAAGTTAACAGCCTTCAACATTTTAAGACAGAACAACGAAAATATCTTCCTAATTGTTACTTAGATAGAGGTTAAAGGGGTCCCACTGTGAATCGGACATGGTAGATTTTAATGACATCTTACTTAAAAGAACATTTACAGTTCCTTTAAGGAATCAATAAATTGAAATCTGTAAATAAATTCACATTGCACATTGCATAATTAATCAAAATTATTTTACCTGAAAATCGCTTCTAGTTGTCGATTTACCCAGAAACCTGTCATCTGATATAGCTGATCTAAACATAGATATATCTGATATAGCTGATCTAAACATAGATATATCTGATATAGCTGATCTATACATAGATATATCAGATATACCTGATCTAAACATAGATATATCTGATATAGCTGATCTAAACATAGATATATAAGATATACCTGATCTAAACATAGATATATCAGATATAGCTGATCTAAACATAGATATATCTGATATAGCTGATCTAAACATAGATATATCAGATATACCTGATCTAAACATAGATATTTAAGACCTACCTGATCTAAACATAGATATATTTGATATACCAGATCTAAACATAGATATATCAGATATAGCTGATCTAAACATAGATATATCTGATATAGCTTATCTAAACATAGATATATCTGATATACCTGATCTAAACATAGATATATCAGATATACCAGATCTAAACATAGATATATCAAATATACCAGATCTTACTACACATAGATTTATCAGATATAGCTTACCTAAACATAGATATATCTGATTTAGCTGATCTATACATAGATATATCAGATATACCTGATCTAAACATAGATATATCTGATATAGCTGATCTAAACATAGTTATATCTGATATAGCTTATCTAAACATAGATATATCAGACATACCTGATCTAAACATAGATATATCTGATATAGCTGATCTAAACATAGATATATCAGACATACCTGATCTAAACATAGATATATCTGATATACCTGATCTAAACATAGATATATCAGATATACCAGATCTAAACATAGATATATCTGATATACCTGATCTAAACATAGATATATCAGATATACCAGATCTACACATAGATTTATCAGATATAGCTTACCTAAACATAGATATATCTGATTTAGCTGATCTAAACATAGATATATCTGATATAGCTGAGCTAAACATAGATATATCTGATATGCCTGATCTAAACATAGATATATCTGATATACCTGATCTTAACATAAGTATATCAGATATACCTGATCTAAACATAGATATATTTGATATAGCTGATCTAAACATAGATATATCAGATATAGCTGATCTAAACATAGATATATCAGATATAGCTGATCTATACATAGATATATCAGATATAGCTGATCTATACATAGATATATCAGCTGATCTAAACATAGATATATAAGATATACCTGATCTAAACCTAAATTTCTTATGTATAAATATAAAGTAGTAATAGTAAGGGTACATCTGGCATTACCCTCTTTTCATGTAAAGTCACATGAAATTAGGATTGCAGTATTTTTAATTATTTTACTAACTTGAGTGTATCCCTGTCTCTAGGATCAACTCTAACCCTTGGGACGGATTCTCTAGTATAATCATGCTTATCCTGTATTTTACTTACTTGAGTGTATCCCTGCCTCTAGGATCAACTTTAACCCTTGGGACGGATTTTCCAGAATACTCATGCTTATCCTGTATTTTACTTACTTGAGTGTATCCCTGTCTCTAGGATCAACTTTAACCCTTGGGACGGATTCTCCAGAATACTCATGCTTATCCTGTATTTTACTTACTTGAGTGTATCCCTGCCTCTAGGATCAACTTTAACCCTTGGGACGGATTCTCCAGAATACTCATGCTTATCTGTTCTAAACTGCATTGATCCGTTCAACGACAAATTGTCTCTGAAAAACAAGTTATGACATACAAAAACGGTATTTCATTTACAGGGTTACCCACAAAAGATCAGAGTTTAACATGACCTCAGACTCTTTAAATATGGCAATTCGAAGGTATAATTTGGAGTAGTTTATCAATCTATATAATAAAACAAGACATTCGATCGTATATAGATTTGTTTCCTATAGCCGGCTAAACGGCTGGACCGAATAGTCTGAAACATTTTGTGGACACTCATGGGGGGCCGGGGGGTGTTATCGGCTAAAAAAATTGGATTTTTTTCTCAACATTTCTGTTAAAATTTTTTTCCACGGGCAACGCCAGGCCCTTCAGCTAGTATTTAATGATTTTAAAGATTATGAGACGTGAACAGCTGAATGAAGGGATGCAGGAAGCAAGTATTATTTCGAGATTTGCGAAATTTTATTCTAGATGTCTCTTTTTAAAAAGTTCACTATATCTAGACCGGATTATTTTTCAGATCAGTTGATTTCATATCATATCTTTGTTGTAATATCAGGGGCGTTCACCGAAAGTATATTTATAGCTTCGCTCGTCACAGCAAGAAAATTTTAGGAATAGTCTCAAATGTGATCCATCAGAGTCTGTTTTAGACTTCTTAAGAGCGAATAAAAGAAATGATAGATTGAGTATTTAATGTAGGAAGGACATTCGAGGATTTTTCTGGTTTTGATTCACGTTTAAGATCCATAATCACTGTAATCTCCTCTGGTTTTATGTTAGAGACTTTGGGATAAAAGAATTGAGTCTTAGTAACAAACTCTGATTTTCTAATACCTATATTTTTTCCACCTGATGGTGTAATCCTTTGATATTTCAAACTTAGATTTTTTCATCTAACAGAATTCATAGTTTGAAATATCTAAGGTCTACGGCATTGGATTACAAAGATATAGAGATTATAAAATCAGTGTTTGTGAGAAAGATTCAATTCCTTTAACCCAGATCTTTGTCATTTTGTCTTTTTAAGATTTTGATTTATAACTTTGTTTACAGTGTAAAGCGTACACCAAGCTGTCTGGCAAACGTACTTCTTGAACCCTTGCTAATAGGGTTTCAACAATTGTCAACATTTTTGACCTTTTTTGGAGTCTTGATGATCTTTCCCGGACATGTCATAATCCTTCAAATATTATATTTTTCCTTCTTAACCCCATTAAACCATCATTAAAATTCATAAAATTGGTTTAAAATGCGTTCTAGATTATGTGTTAGGGTTCCATGCTTAGTTTTTGCATCTAATCACTATAGTTTCAGTAGAAATAAATATTTCCATTTACTGATAGCGCCGATTGAAAGATTCATAGCTCTGATTGAATATCGAGATAGATAGAAAGATAGATGTTACCGCCATATTTCTATTGGTTCAGAATAGACAACAAACACATGACTGAACCCTGATTGGATCAGGCGCTAATGTAACCGGCATACAGGAGTGTAATAGAAACATTTTTGGGTAACTGAGCCTCCAACGTGTATTTTTTCTCTGGTTAATATTCCATATATTCCTGTGCAACGAAGCTAATCAACCTTCAGAAGAACACTCCTTACATCACAATAATAATCTACTTGACGCCAACCTGGCCAAAAATGCATCCGGCATAGATAGTGAACTTTTAAAAAAAATTACAGGGCTATGACATCTAGAAGTACCACAAAAACAATTTTGCAGAACTGTTCGGCCGCACCTCGTGTATTCCGTATATTTCGTACAGTCATCTTAGAGAGTCTTATCCTTTTAGAGGAACCCTGTATGCACACAACGACACACATATTTTGAATGATTTTGGGAACATTTAGAAAATAAAATTGTTTAACCCTTAGTTAAAATAAGCTAAAATTCGTGAGATATATGCTCCAAATTCGTGAGATGCTCCTAATTCGTGAGATATATGCTCTTAATTTGTGAGATTTATGCTTCTAATTTCTACATGTTTTTGTTCATTCCTTAAACGAACAAAACAGTTTGATATTATTATTAAGTCTTTGAGATGTAATGCAAATCTAAAAGAATATGTTTTATGATAGAATTATACCTTGGTCTTTGACTGGTCGGTCTCTGTAATAGAGCTGATCTTGAATGTTGGTAATTTTGTTTATAAAAATCCATCTCCCCTTTCAACTCCAAATTATCCCTGAAGAAAGATTAATTACCTATAAAAAAGGTAACAAAGATAACTTAATCATGGCTGGTCTTAATTGTATGTATCCAATAAACATTAAAACGATTGAATCAACAAGGCACATTTTTTTGCGGTAACTCACCACATAAAATTCTTTCTTACATAATCTGTAATTGTACAGTACAGCTTACTCGAGCTGGTCAAAAATCGGCCCGGTACTTGAAATGAACCTGAGTTAACAGTGTCACTTTTTACCCCATTAGGTTTTCTTTCCGGTCCTAGATAAAACGTTGCCTCAAAATAAGTAACAAGTACTAGTACAATATTTTTGGGAAATCCGACGATGAAAATAAGAAAAATCTGCGAACTTCTAAATTATTATTATTTCATAAAATGCAAAAAGCTTGCAAAAACGCTTAGATTTTTCCAAAAATGGACACGAGGCGCACCCTCTAAATATAAACCTGGTTTAATATATTTCTTTTTGAAAAGTATGGAAAATGAAATAATAGTACTAGTCAAGTATGTAAAGTTAGGAAGATGCCCTTTAACCGGTGCTAAAATTGTCAAACCTTCCCTTTAACAGGAACTGACTGAAAATGCATTAGCAAACAGGATACTTGCGGAGTAAACATACATTAATGTTTGTAAACATTAGTAAACATTGATGTTTTGTGGTCAGGGTAGGTTGTGTGGTTTGGGTGCTGGCTTAAACTCATTAAAACTATAATAGGGTAGGAAGGATTCATTTAGAAAAATCAGCTATATGATTTAAACAGAAAATGATATTTCAATAATAGTTTCTAGTTCTCCTGCTAGAAACCTTAACATTGGTTTCCTAGTTCTCCTTCTAGAAACATTTACCTTGGTTTCCTAGTTCTCCTTCTAGAAACCTACATTGGTTTCCTAGTTCTCCTTCTAGAAACCTTTACCTTGGTTTCCTAGTTCTCTATCTAGAAACCTACATTGGTTTCCTAGCTCTCCATCTAGAAACCTTTACATTGGTTTCCTAATTCTCCTTCTAGAAACCTTTACCTTGGTTTCCTAGTTCTCCTTCTAGAAACCTTTACCTTGGTTTCCTTCTCCTTCTAGAAACCTTTACCTTGGTTTCCTAGTTCTCCTTCTAGAAACCTACATTGGTTTCCTAGTTCTCCTTCTAGAAACCTTTACCTTGCTTTCCTAGTTCTCTATCTAGAAACCTTTACATTGGTTTCCTAGTTCTCTATCTAGAAACCTTTACATTGGTTTCCTAATTCTCCATCTAGAAACCTGCATTGGTTTCCTAGTTCTCCTTCTAGAAACCTATACCTTGGTTTCCTAGTTCTCCTTTTAGGAACCTATACCTTGGTTTCCTAGGTCTCTATCTAGAAACCTTTACCTTGGTTTCCTAGTTCTCCTTCTAGAAACCTTTACCTTGGTTTCCTAGTTCTCATTCTAGAAACCTTCCTTGGTTTCCTAGTTCTCCTTCCAGAAACCTACCTTGGTTTCCTAGTTCTCCATCTAGAAACCTTTACATTGGTTTCCTAATTCTCCTTCTAGAAACTTTTACATTAGTTTCCTAGTTCTCCTTCTAGAAACCTACCTTGGTTTCCTAGCTCTCCATCTAGAAACCTTTACATTGGTTTCCTAGTTCTCTATCTAGAAACCTTTACATTGGTTTCCTAGTTCTCCTTCCAGAAACCTACCTTGGTTTCCTAGTTCTCCATCTAGAAACCTATACTTTGGTTTCCTAATTCTCCTTCCGGAAACTTTTACATTAGTTTCCTAGTTCTCCTTCTAGAAACCTACCTTGGTTTCCTAGTTCTTCTTCTAGAAACCTTTACATTGGTTTCCTAGTTCTCCTTCTAGAAACCTTTACCTTGGTTTCCTAGTTCTCCTTCTAAAAACCTATACCTTGGTTTCCTAGTTATCCATCTAGAAACCTACCTTGGTTTCCTAGTTGCAGTTCTAGATGATTCAGCACTAAATGAACTGGGTTGATATCTATATGTTGTATAATCTATATCTCCTTCTAGAGCCAAATTGTCCCTGAAAGGTACACTATTTTGATAAAATATTTAGTCTGCATAAAGTCTTTGAATTTTAAACAGATGATTAGCTTTTCAGTAAATTGATCACATTTTCAATTCTGGAATAAACAGTTTTCTTTATGATAGGGATCGGTTAATAGAAAGAGGAAAAACGCTATTATTAGATCAATTGTGCCAGCCTTTGTTTCCTAGTTCTCCATCTAGAAACCTATACCTTGGTTTCCTAGTTCTGCTTCTAGAAACCTACCTTGGTGTCCTAGTTCTCCTTCTAGAAAACTTTAAATTGGTTTCCTAGTTCTCCTTCTAGAAACCTATACCTTGGTTTCCTAGGTCTCCTTCTAGAAACCTTTAAATTGGTATCCTAGTTCTCCTTCTAGAAACCTATACCTTGGTTTCCTAGGTCTAAATCTAGAAACCTACCTTGGTTTTCTAGTTCTCCTTCTAGAAACCGACCTTGGTTTCCTAGTTCTCCTTCTAGAAACCTACCTTGGTTTCCTAGTTCTCCTTCTAGGAACCTACCTCGGTTTCCTAGTTTTCCTTCTAGAAACCCATACTTTTGTTCCCTAGGACTCTATCTAGAAACCTACCTTCGTTTTCTAGTTCTCCTTCTAGAAACCGACCATGGTTTCCTAGTTCTCCTTCTAGAAACCTATACCTTGGTTTCCTAGTTCTCCTTCTAGAAACCTATACCTTGGTTTCCTAGATCTCTATCTAGAAACATACCTTGGTTTCCTAGTTCTCCTTCTAGAAACCTACCTTGGTTTCTTAGTTCCCCTTCCAGAAACCTACCTTGGTTTCCTAGTTCTCCTTTTAGAAACCTACCTTGGTTTCCTAGTTCTCAATCTAGAAACCTATACCTTGGTTTCCTAGTTTTCCTTCTAGAAACCTACCTTGGTTTCTTAGTTATCCATCTAGAAACCTACCTTGGTTTCCTAGTTGCAGTTCTAGATGATTCAGCACTAAATGAACTGGGTTGATATCTATATGTTGTATAATCTATATCTCCTTCTAGAGCCAAATTGTCCCTGAAAGGTAAAATATTTTGATAAAATATTTAATCTGCATAAAGTCTTTGAATTTTAAACAGATGATTAGCTTATCAGTATATTAAAATATGTACATAATAGTAGTCTATGCTAGCCAGAGTAGAATAAATATTTTGAATATGAATTGGTTGACCTTGGTTTCATATTGACGGATGTAAATGAGTATCCGTTCCATCGACCAGGGTTGAAAGAGGATGTGTCCAGGTTGGATGAACTTGTTGATATTCTCCTACTGCTGAACATAGTGTCAGGTCTAGAGGATGGGAACCGTGTTCCAAGGTTTCCACTCTCCTCCAGGCCCGGAGCAACATAGGTATAATCTGAGTCTGGATGTAGGTTCGGAAAGAATGAAGGTTTGTTGCTCCGGGTTGTCTCTGGTCTGGGATCTGTATCCCCTCCGTCATAACTCCACCTTAGAATCAAAATTATATGAAAAATAATATTTGATTTTCTGAACAAGGTTCGCCATAATGGTTTAGATTTTCTTGTATTTTACACCCTACCGGAGAAGTTTAAAAAATGGCCAAGAGTTTAAAATTATTGAAAACGTGAAAATCTAAGTGTTCAGTGATGATAGACAAGGATTGCTTATAATAATTACTGAATTTTTTGTAATTTACAAATTTGCACTGTACTGCATTGTATTTTACTTTCTTGTACTGTTTTGTACTGTACTGTACTGGACTTTACTATATTGTACTGTACTGTGTTTGTACTTGTTGTTGTTAATTTGTTACCTTCTGTTAATCTGCTGTGTTGTTGAATCCTAAAAAATAGAATAAAATTAGATCCCAAGATATTCTCATAAAATATGCAGAACTAAACCCAATCAGATATAGAGACAGTGTGCAGTCCCAGTAAACATGGGAAAGGATTTTAAGTCGCACTTTATTTTATTTCACAAAAATACGGAGATGTCACAAACTAAGACAATTCAGTTTTCCTCGATTAATTAAAGAAAAATTAAAGTCTTTAATCTTTATTTTTACAATTGCAACAGAGCAGGGACATCGTTTTGGAACACATTTTAGTGACAAACTAAAATTTTCTAGTCCCTATATCTTTGCAACCTGATGGTGTAAATTTTTGCTATTTCAAACTTAAATTTTCTCAATCAACATATAAGTAAGTTTGAAATATTTCGGTTTACTACATCTGGTCGCAAAGATATATGGATTTATTTTTTAAAAATCGCTTTTGATTTCTTTTGGAATTAATCAACCAAATAATCTTTTAATTGATCAATAGTTTAAAATAATTTTTCATGTGTGTTTGAGATTAAAACAGAATATATTAATTTTCCCAGTTTGACTTTCTAATTTTTCTGAATAATGTTTTCTTTGCATACTTTTTCTATTAAAGTTTGGAGAAGAAAATATAAGATAAAACTGTGTTTAAATATCTTTCTACAGGCAGGACAGGGAGAATTTACGACTCACGGCAAACTAAAATAAATTGTAAGTAATATTGAAATCTTATATGTTTTCAATCATAACTCCTCTTATTGAAAAGATATTGAGAAGAACAAAATATGTTCAGAATTTTTAATATGTAACCAGACCTGGGAACTTTAGAATGGATAACCTTTTATCCCAACTACTTAAACCGAATTAGAAACTTTTAATTTTAGTCCTTAATCCACTCTTTTTCTCTCTCTTTGGATATCTGCACATAGTTTTCTCCAATGAGAGTGAGAAATATAGTTCGTAAATTGTATTGACCAATGACAGCCTTGAAAATAAATTCTATCCCATGAGAGAAATCCGAAATTTTAACAAATAAAGCATTTGTTGTCGGCCATTTTGTAAATTAATCGGTGAAGAAAAATATTCAATAATACGGTTAAAGATTCTTTTTTAACCGATTTTGACTAATATATTAATAAATAAATGGGTAAGAAATTAAGTGATGGTCCTTTCAGTCACGAAAACCAACATATCTGGCGTTCCTAGAATCAAATTTGTTGATCTAGATATTTAATCTCGAGACTAACATAATCTCGAGATTATGGTAATCTCGAGATTAGCAAAAAGAGAAGATTAAGCGTTAATCCTCATATCCACCATTTTAAAGTTCCCAGCCCTAATAAATTTGATTTTCTCATTTTGAGAAAAAATAATTTTTCCTGTCATATACAGTGTAACCCACAAAGGATGAGACTGTAAAGACGACCCAAAACTCTAAAAATATGACGATTTTAAGCTTGATTTTTTTGTTGCTGTATTCAATTGAGTAATTTGTTGGTTTACTAAATAATTAAGCAAAAAAATAAACAATTTTTGACCTACAAGGTAACCTAATTCAAGAAAACGGACATAACAAATTCAGTAAATCGTCTCTGAAGTCTCATCCTTTGCGGGTAACTCTGTATTAGAAATTCAAAACATTTTTGTTCTTCTCAATAGCTCTTCATTAGGAGGAGTTATAATTGAAAACATATTATATTTCAATCATACGTGCAATTTATTTTACTCTGACGTGTGCTGCAGTCAGTTCTAAATTTACTTTAGTTTGACGTGTGCTGCAGTCAGTTCTAAATTTACTTTAGTTTAACGTGTGCTGTAGTCAGTTCTAAATTTACTTTAGTTTCACGTGTGCTGCAGTCAGTTCTAAATTTACTTTTGTTTGACGTGTGCTGCAGTCAGTTCTAAATTTACTTTTGTTTGACGTGTGCTGCAGTCAGTTCTAAATTTAGTTTAGTTTGACGTGTGCTGCAGTCAGTTCTAAATTTAGTTTAGTTTGACGTGTGCTGCAGTCAGTTCTAAATTTACTTCAGTTTGACGTGTGCTGCAGTCAGTTCTAAATTTACTTTAGTTTGGCGTGTTCTGCAGTCAGTTCTAAATTTACTTTAGTTTGACGTGTGCTGCAGTCAGTTCTAAATTTACTTTAGTTTGGCGTGTGCTGCAGTCAGTTCTAAATTTTGAGCCTAGCTGTCAAGTCATCTTTTAAAGATTAAATTAGAAGCTGCACTGCACTTTTGCTTTTATGTTAGAAGCCTTTCAAGGATTGGATCTAGTTTCCCTTATGCTCAATGCTCCTTCCTTCCGTTTTGATCTTGTGAAATTCTTCTTTTTCTTTCTTTTCTTATTAAAAAACTAAATCCAATTTAAAACCATATCTGTATAGTTGCTGTAAATCTCATAATGGTTTGATAAACATTTGGAATTATTCTATAGTCAAAGCTTTCTGTCTCAATTTATAAAGGAAATTGAGTCTTTGCCACAAACTCTCATTTTCTAATCCCCATTTCTTTGCAACCCACACCTCCCCGGAAGCGATTTTGACCTCGTTGTTACGACCATTTTTCTAATTAGTATATATATATATCCTAATCCAAAAACGTGACCTAAAAAGTAAACTTTGTCCGCCTTCATTGTTTATCTTGCAGAAATATTATAGACACAGCCTTTTAATGTTTATAGCAGACATACTTAGGACTTTTGAAATCTGAGCTGCAACCCTTTTGAACGTACTTTTTGCTAACATATGACGTCTCCGACTGTGGCCGTCCGAAGTGCGGTATAACACGACCCCTTTCGGCGAAAACAAATAAACATCTAACGGTCAAACAATGTATCGAGTACGGAGACACACAAAGTACGTCTTAAATACGCCCTTTAATTTGGGAAGACTCGGGCTCAGGTATTACAATTTTAATTCTGAACAAAAACGATTTCAAATTTGTAATTCAATTCCCATGTTTAATGGGACACCCTGTATGAAGTTAGACAATAACAGTCCGTTTTATGTAAATGGATCTCATGTTTTCTAAATCCATCTTTGTATGAAATATTGGAAGCATGTTGGAAAACTGTTAAACACAACCAGAGAATAGTTTATGTAAATGCAAATGCATTTATTTCCTTTTTATGTAGTTTCTGAATTTATATTTTATTCTTTATCAGAGAAAAAGGAATATTTATTTATGCCAGAAGTCAACATGTTTCCCATTGGGGCTAGTTTTAATATAAAATAGAAGAAATGAAGAAAATGTAAAAAACTATGAATTGTATAATGTATATGGACAGAGAAGTAAAAACATCTCAAATATTAATTGTAATTAATTTGCACGCACCGTTTCTTTACAGATATAACTTTGAAATTCTATTTAAAATTTATTATTGTTATAATTATAAATAAAAATAATTGAAGACAAGGGTCGTTTACATCTCACTGTGAAGTAAAAAATAATACATCACAGAGACTGGTTTTACTATCTAAATTAAAGAATATGTGGGCTGGACCTGGGCAATTATTCTTTACAAAATCTTGTTTCAGCGCTGTCCCAATTACGTCACAGGAAAATGTAAAGAAACACGATCAGCCTTTCCTTAGTTTAACCTCTCCTTAGTTTAACCTCTTCTAAGTTTAACCTCTCCTTAGTTTAACCTCTCCTTAGTTTAACCTCTCCTCAGTTTAACCTCTCTTTAGTTTAACCTCTTCTTAGTTTAACTTTTTCTTAGTTTAACCTCTCTTTAGTTTAACCTCTCCTTAGTTTAACCTCTCCTTAGTTTAACCTCTCCTTATTTTAACCTCTCTTTAGCTTAACCTCTCTTTAGTTTAACCTCTCCTTATTTTAAACTCTCTTTAGTTTAACCTCTCCTTAGTTTAACCTCTCCTTAGTTTAAACTCTTTTCAGTTTACCTCTCCTTAATTTAACCTCTCCTTAGTTTAATCTCTCCTTAGTTTAACCTCTCCTTAGTTTAACCTCTCCTTAGTTTAACCTCTCCTTAGTTTAAACTATCCTTAGTTTAACCTCTCCTTAGTTTAACCTCTTTTTAATTTAACCTCTCCTTAGTTTAAACTCTCCTTAGTTTGACCTCTCCTTAGTTTAACCTCTCCTTAGTTTTACCTCTCCTTAGTTTAACCTCTCCTTAGTTTAACCTCTTCTTAGTTTAACCTCTCCTTAGTTTAACCTATGCTTAGTTTAACCTCTCTATAGTTTAACCTCTTCTTAGTTTAACCTCTCCCTTAGTTTAACCTCTCCTTAGTTTAACCTCTCCTTAGTTTAACCTCTCCTTAGTTTAACCTCTCCTTAGTTTAACCTCTCCTTAGTTTAACCTCTCCTTATTTTAACCTCTCCTTAGTTTGACCTCTCCTTGGTTTAACCTCTTCTTAGTTTAACCTCTCCTTAGTTTAACCTTTTCTTAGTTTAACCTCTCCTTAGTTTTACCTCTCCTTAGTTTAACCTCTCCTTAGTTTAACCTCTCTTAGTTTAACCTCTCCTTAGTTTGACCTCTCCTTAGTTTAACCTCTCCTTAGTTTAACCTCTTCTTAGTTTAACCTCTCCTTAGTTTTACCTCTCCTTAGTTTTACCTCTCCTTAGTTTAACCTCTCCTTTGCTTAACCTCTTCTTTGTTTAACATCTCCTTAGTTTAACCTCTCCTTAGTTTAACATCTCCTTAGTTTAACCTCTCCTTGGTTTAACATCTCCTTAGTTTAACCTCTCCTTAGTTTAACCTTTTCTTAGTTTAACCTCTCCTTAGTTTAACCTCTCCTTAGTTTAACCTCTTCTTAGTTTAACCTCTCCTTAGTTTAACCTCTTCTTAGTTTAACCTTTCCTTAGTTTTACCTCTCCTTAGTTTAACCTCTCCTTAGTTTAACCTCTCCTTAGTTTACCCGTGTGTATGTACAATATGTACATAAATATTACATAAATATTACCTTGTAAGCTGCAAGAGCTGTGGGTAGCGGAGGTATAGTCGGCAGAATATCATCTTCATTATCATTATAGTATTTTTCATCCTCGTACTATAGTACATAAACATAATGAGAGTTGGAATTATATTATTATTATCATTATAGTACTTTTCATCCTTGAACTATAGTACATAAACATAATGATAGTTGGAAGAATATCATTATTATTATCATAGTACTTTTTATCCTTGTACTACAGTACATTAACATAAATATAGTTGGAAGAATATCATCTTCATTATCATTATGGTACTTTTCATTCTTGTACTACAGCACATACACTTAATGATAGTTGGAAGAATATCATTATTATTATCATAGTACTTTTTATCCTTGTACTACAGTACATTAACATAAATATAGTTGGAAGAATACCATCTTCATTATCATTATAGTACTTTTCATTCGTGTACTATAGTACATAAACGTAATGATAGTCATTAGATATCCATGTTTTTGTTTATTTAAATATTTTTCTTCATTTTTTGTTTCTGAGGAAAAAAACTCGAGAATTTCACAGAAATATAAGCACTTTTCGAGTCAGAAAAATGACAGTATCTTCGACATTTTTAATCAGATTTCAATGGTACCGTTGTACATCGAGCATACCTATCTTAGCATGTAGGGTCACTTAAAAATACGCTGACAGTCCTTTTAACTCGGCTTTAGCATGATACTCGCAGAGAAAATTACGGAATCAAACTTATTTTTTCTAATTACAATTAATGCAAGGGACTTCATCCTAATTTTTGCAAATATTTGTTTCCAGACACTTTATTTCATGTGAACTATTTTGATATAAAATTAAATCCATATTTCGTGGTTTTTTGCTTTGTTTGATTTTTGTTATATCAACCTTGTCCAATTCTACATCGATTGAATCAATTAAAATAGAAAGCTTGAAGCACAGCTACTCGAATAATAAACTACATTTTCAAGGCTAATTTATAACAATGAAATAATAAAATGCATTAGTATTAGTAATATTGCAAGTAATTTTCCATCGAAGTTAGAATCAGAAGTTAGAAAGTATTATTTAGTATTATCTACAACCCTAAAAACAAATAAATGAATGGAGTGAACCAAAAACCTATTTTTATTTGGGATAGACTGGTTACGATTATTCAATCTTTTTTTTCGTATAGTGTTCTGGTGGGTCTTTTCAAATTGGAGATGTGCTCCATTTTTTACTTGTAGAAATACACTTGAAGATTGAAAAATAATTTTTTTTTAGATTGTAGTGTTCTTAATTTTTATGCCCTTCAAGATCTTTTTAGGTGGGCAACGTTATACCTATACACGTAATACTTAGAGATGGTTTTACATTTGTTGACGACTCATTGAAATCATCCTTTTCTCTTTCTCCGATTTTATAAAACATTAAGTTGCATTTTGCAAAGTTTTCCAGGATGTTTGTGCCGAATTTTGCATAGCTATGCTTTTCAAAACAAACGTCAATAATTCATATCTTGCACAAAGGTTAGAGAGTATGCAAACAGCGTGGTAGCAAAACTTTTTTCTACAAAAGTTGAAAATCTTTTGGATAATTTTAAGAATATTTCATTTTACCATTTGCCACTGTTTGACCGAATTTTCAAAAAATATCATATTTGCGATGTTTTAAAGCAAAAAATCATAACGAAGTAAAAAAAAACTTGATTAACCTGATTTCCATACAGTTCGCTCCAATCTGCAGCGCACATTTTTTTACTTCTAAATCTTTACTCCTAAATCTATATCTAATTCTGAAATATAAATCTATAGATATAAGTTTCTAATTCTGAAATATCAATCTCTAAATATTAGTTTCTAATTCTGAAATATAAATCTCTAAATATAAGTTTCCAATTCTGAAATATAAATCTTTAAATATGAGTTTCTAATTCTGAAATATAAATCTTTAAATATTAGTTTCCAATTCTGAAATATAAATCTCTAAATAAAAGTTTCTAATTCTGAAATATATATCTTTAAATATGAGTTTCTAATTCTGAAATTTAAATCTCTAAATAAAAGTTTCCAATTCTGAAATATAAATCTCTAAATATAAGTTTCCAATTCTGAAATATAAATCTTTAAATATGAGTTTCTAATTCTGAAATATAAATCTTTAAATATTAGTTTCTAATTCTGAAATATAAATCTCTAAGTATAAGTTTCTAATTCTAAAAAACAAATCTTTAAATATTAGTTTCTAATTCTGAAAAATGATCTCTAAATATAAGTTTCTAATTCTGAAATATAAATCTCTAAATATAAGTTTCTAATTCTGAAATATAAATCTCTAAATATGAGTTTCTAATTCTGAAATATAAATCTCTAAATATTAGTTTCTAATTCTGAAATATAAATCTCTAAATATTAGTTTCTAATTCTGAAATATTAATCTCTAAATATTAGTTTCTAATTCTGAAATATTAATCTCTAAATATTAGTTTCTAATTAATATAAATCTCTAAATATTAGTTTCTAATTCTGAAATATTAATCTCTAAATATTAGTTTCTAATTCTGAAATATTAATCTCTAAATATTAGTTTCTAATTCTGAAATATTAATCTCTAAATATTAGTTTCTAATTCTGAAATATAAAAAGTACGAATCGAGGAAATTGTACTGTCAATATTGTCAATTTAAATATCTATAAATAGGTTCTTTATACCTCTCTATTTATTGTAAAAAACGTGACAGGCGAATAGGACGTTACACGATATGACACGATATCATTCTCTTACTGTAATTTTATTGGAAATACCGCAAATGAAATTTTAACTAGTATAAAAACAGTTGCAATGTCAAAGGAATGCATGTGTTCTGGTAATTGGGGTTAATGGCCACCTTTGGCTTGTCCTCACTATCTGGTATATACACATTGCACCAGGGCTCTTGTATTCTTGTATTTAGAATCTGTTTGTTTACTTTTCGTCTACTGGATAACATGAATGAATCTAAAGCACATACAATGGTGTTTTTTTTTTATAGCAGCATTACTAAATAAAAGCTTAGCATTAAATTCAAACCACCTGGGAAGGTTTATGTCCAGAACAGCTCGGCAGGAAATCCCTGCGAGGCATATCGTGTAAACTCTATAAGAAATAATAATAATAATAACCTCATAGTAACACAGCTAAAAATAACTGTTTATGAAGATTAAGGTAACAATTAAGATTAAGTTTAAGATTAAGATTAAGTTTAAGGTTAAGATTAAGTTTAAGATTAAGTTTAAGATTAAGATTAAGTTTAAGATTAAGATTAAGTTTAAGATTAAGATTAAGTTTAAGATTAAGATTAAGTTTAAGATTAATAAATCATTTTTAGTTCCTTACATAGTCAAATGGTTTAGATCTGAGTAATTTTATTTCAATGAAATTGTGTCCCAACAGCCGCAATATTTACCCCGAAATCTAATTTTCCAATTCTGGTATTGAAGCTGATCTAACATTTCAAATAATGAATTGTGTTTTATCAAATCAATAATGTTTAAAATATCAAAAATGTAGAGATTTTATAATACTAGCCTTTTAGGGCTCTGCACTGTGCGCCCCTTTCTTAGTTACGATTTTACATTGACTAATTTACACCTACCATTTTACATCTACTATTTTACATCTACTATTTTACATCTACTATTTTACATCTACGATTTTACATTCACTATTTTACATCTTTGACTAATTTACATCTACTATTTTACATCTAAGATTTTATATTCACTATTTTACATTTACGATTTTACATTTACTATTTTACATCTACTATTTTACATGTACCATTTTACATCTACCATTTTACATCTACTATTTTACATCTGCTATTTTACATCTACTATTTTACATGTACTATTTTACATCTAGGGTTTTACATCTACTATTTTACATCTACTATTTTAAATCCACTATTTTATATCTACGATTTTACATCTTCTATTTTACATCTACTTTTTACATCTACTATTTTAACTCTACTTTTTAAATCTACTATTTTAATTTTTATATCTACTATTTAACATCTACGATTTTAGATCTACGGTTTAACATCTACTATTTTAGATTTTCGAATTGCTGGATTTTTAAGAATTGTAACAATCAACATTTTTTAAAGCAAAATATTTTTGTTTTCCCTCGAGACATGTGAGCTGCCTCCATAAAATTGGGGCAAATCTGTTTAACTGCAGATTTAACGTTTATTGGATACAAAAAAAAACATAAACCCAATCTAGATTTATATATGTAGAATTGTGCCTGTGACAAGTAATCAGTTCATATGATGAAAAATGATTAAATATTAAACTGATTTAAAATCTTTTCCAAGATTAGTGTTGTGCACAAATGACTCTATTTCTGCAGAACACATTATAAATTAATTGAAGAATTAGACTTGCAAACTTTCCCAAAGTTAAATATCCATGGAGACTTTATAGAATGAATAAGGAATTGAAATATAGATAAGAATGAATGAATAAGGAATTGAAATATAGATAAGAATGAAAAAACAGGAACAAAACAGACACAATTTTAGAAATAATAGTTTCTTATTTTATTATTAAAGGTTTTTAAGAACATATTTAAAACTACGTAGACAGTCTCTTTTACATTTTATTCTACTTTTAATCAAAAAGGTTTTTGTTGTTGCTTCGAAACCTAGATTTGCCTGAAGTTATCTTTATAAAAGTTCAAACCAATCAACTTAGAATTCTCAAACTAGACTCAAAACATTTACAGTGTTCTATTGAGCTTCATATAAACAATATTGTAGGCAAATCTGTCCATGGGTGCATGGGTTATGATCGGCCAAACAGACAAACGCCCAGACAGACTGAAAAACAGTAGTCAAGGGTTGAGGAAAACTTTTATTTCGATTTGAAGGGTCTAAAATGTCCCAGAACATAATTTCTAAATAATCTTCTGATCTCATCTATACTCCATTAACATTGAAAATAAAAAAATATCATTGATTTCATAAAGAGTGCTATACTGGAATTTAGCTAGATAAAGCCGAAAATGGTCATAAATGGAAAAAATTGGCAGTTTTATCTTAAACCTCCTATTATAATGTGTTGCCCTCCTGCCCCTACCACAAAGAAATAAGAGTTCTGTTAAAATATTGACAGAAATGTAAAACAGTTTAAAACTATAATTGAAAATATTTTGAACGGTTGTAAAATATTAAAGCCTAGAACTGAAAGTGCACCAAGCATGTCTAATACTGACCAAATAATACTGCATTGGTTTAGCTTTGTTCATCAGGCTTTCTAATATATTCAATATTCAAGGAACATAGTCATACAATTTAATATCTTTAGACGTATGGCACGTCAAACTAAAGTAAATAGTACACGCACCTCTGACCCTTCAGTAAAAGTAAATTTAGCCTAAAGTCCGACCGCGTCAACCGGTTACTCCAATTGAGTGTCTCCTTTATTTACCCAATTCAGGCCTAGGCGACAAAGTTATATCATTAAACAAGTTAAAAAAAAATACTCAAATTCTTATTAAAAGGACAGTAAAGGAAAAATGAAAGGGGGTATAGGTTGAAACCTGAGAATCTCAGGAGTTGATCTTTGCATATAAGACATCTATGTGATGTTCCTGTCTCGAGAAATTGACGTAAAACTGTTTCAAAATTATACCAAAACGTATGTATGTGAGATATACATCCGTATCAGTATCACGTGACCAGAACTCCTTCCAATGACAGTGCAGTATACTGGTCACTTGATACAGACGGGAGACACACCTGAATTTTTCAGGCTTCTCTGGGATATCGTCGTTCTCAGATTGGTTGCGTATTTGTTGAATATGATCTGTTTAATATTACGAATCTTATACAAAATCTTACATATGTACGTTCCGGCATAATTTTGACACAGTTTTACATCAATTTCTCGAGACAAGAACATCAGATAGAACTCTTATAGGTCTCAATCAGCTCCTGATATTCTCAGGTTTCAACCTATACCTTCTTTCATTTTTCCTTTACAATCCCTTTAATTAAGATAATATTTCTTAAAAATTTACATAAACATACATTTGTTTAATATGTAACAACACAAAATTCTTTTTCCCATGCCCAAAGTCAAAACTAGAGAGCTACGAGATCAGTAAGTCGTACCACTAGTAATATTGCATCTCTGTCTAGATAAGTTTCACGTAAGATGTATACATAATAGATAAATACAAAATTTAAAAATATTACACAATCTATCTTTCTAACTTCCTTACCGTCCTTTCTTGTAGCACAAGCCTAAACCCGATACAAATACTTATATAACAATGTTTTAACCCTTTCTCTCACATTCAAGCTTTTGTAACTTTTCCCTATTACTTTTAAATAACAGATTTATATAATTAAAAAATTTTCTTGTTTAAAATATTGGTTTAAAACAATTTTTCTTTGATTTGTTAAAAACCAGGGTGTCGGGAGATACATATTACTCAACGCACGGAGAGGGGGGAAATTTTTAGGAAAGTTACTTTCCTTGTCTAATCATCTATTATATGTGGTAAAGGAATAGTAAGGCTGTGCAAACAATACTTGCATAACACAGGGAAATCCTTGTATAATATTTTTCTAGAAGCAATTGTAATCCTCGATATGAAAAAGTGCGGGAAATGTCAAAAGGTAAAGAAAACTTTGCGTTGTCTGATGGAAATGTTTTCAAATATTTTCTATATATCTTTCTTTATAAAGGAATTGAGTCTTTGCCACAAACTCTGGTTTTCTTCTCCCTATATATTTGTAAACCTTCTGTAGTAGACCTAATCTATTTCAAACTATGAGTTAGTCAAACTAAATAAGTTTGAAATTACAAAGGTTTACACCATCAGTTTGCAAAGATTAAAGATTGTTAAAGATTAGAACATTTAATTGAGTTTGTGACAAAGACTCAATTTTATTATAAAGATATTAGGCTTTTAGGACGCTTCGCGCCCATCTTCTTTTTAACTTTTAATTGTGAGCATCTACTCTTTATGCAGCATAAAACACTAACAAACGATAGTTTGCGGATTTCAAATATTTTTAATTTTTTTAAATTTCACAAGATCAAAAACCTTTGGATACAACCTTTTTCAATTCTGAGTATCCATAAGGCATACACTTCCTAGTGTCATGCGAGGTCCCACACAAAATGTGGGCCTGATCGGTTCAGCCGTTCTGACGTTTATTGGATACAAACAGACAAACAGACAGACAGACAAGCAAAGTATATATATATATTTAGAAAATATTTGAAAACATTTCTCCCAAACAAAACTCGAAATAAAACGGCATTATGTCCTGACCGGCAATTTTGAACTAAATACTGCAAGGTACTGATGCAAAAATTACATTTATAGGATTTTACCAATTACTCCCTGAATTTAAACTGACGCCAGAATCTTTTGAATATTTTGTCCAGGGCTAAAAAAGTAAAAATTCAATCAACCCTGTTCTGAAAAGTTGATGTATAACCAGGGCATAACTCTCCTAATTTTGCCTGGCTAGGTTTATACTGTACAGTGAAATTTGTCGAAAAATGTTACCTTATGACTGAGTTGGTATCATAGAGTACAGTGGGTTTAATCCTAAGTACATCTATTTGTACGGTATTGAGTGAACAGTTAATTTTAATATTTTTCAACAATGAGATATTGTAGTGTCAAAAATTGTGTAAACAACGATGTATCATTTGTCATATTTATACATGAAACATGGGATTTAGGGGGGGGGGGGGGGTCAAATTGAATCTATGTAAGAAAGTCCCAGGAAAAAAAGTTTCTGGAAAAAAACCTGGAAATAAAAACTTTGGAAAAAAAGTCCGAATTTTATCAAGTCCTTGGAAAAATTGTCAGTGGAAATAAAGTCCGGTGTTTTGGATTCCTGGGACTTTTTTTCCTAAAATAGTATGAGGGGCTGCCAATAAAGTCTCAGGAAATAAGATCCCAGGAAAAAAAGTCCTGAAGAAAATAAATCCGAGGAAAAGAAAAACCTAGAATTGTGAATCATGCATTTTTACTTGTTAGAGGACTTTTTTGTATAAAATCATACTGGAGCCAGAAAGAAAGTCCTAGAAAATAAAGTCTCGAATTGGTAGGACTTTATTTCTGGAGACTTTTTAATAAAAGGACTTTTTTCCACAGGACTTTTACAGTGTGAAATTTTAGGACTTTTTTGCCGGTTACCGGTCAAATTGACCCCCCCCCCCAGCATATTTTGGTTCTCAAGTACCCCAGCAGAGATAGGGTTAAGGAGAAGGATTTTATTTTTTTCTCTATTTGTCATGTCTCATTTTTATGCAAAAATCATATGAGCTTGTTTTCTTTGCTTGAATATTGTAGTCTTCACTTTCAAACAATAATGTCTTAAAACACTGATCTACGAATTATGATCCCCCCAGGTAGAATTTCTGATCGGGTCATTGTGTACAGTGGCTGTACAACAAGAAGTCTAAAATTCCAGATGCCCCCTCTATTACTAATATCTCGATGTGTATAACCCTTTCTTCTGGATTAGGAATTTAGCCATTTATGAAGCTTTAATTTCAACTATCTTCATTCCTGGCGAAGCTGAAACCCCTTAAAATAAGTTTAATGATCTAAAAGTATCGCCAAGAACCAGTCTCTCTGATTGTCTCATCTAGAGTCTGCCTACTGTCAAACACCTAGCTATTGTCTGGATCAGAAAACAAAACAACGATAAAATGTTAATATTTGTGTGTATTTCTGTTAAAAATAGGCGACTAAACCAAAATATTAAAAAACAATATATCCTTTTTCTTAAACGTTTATTTTCCTACAGGTGACTAATCCTTTAGACACATGCTACATCATCCAAATGCAATATATAATACAAATACTGTAAAATTGTAAAAAATACCTTTCTATTGTTCTGAGCTCTGACCTCATTTTCCAAATAATCAATTTGAATTATTGCCATGTCAGGTTCTTTAATATTTATCCATGCATTATAAATAACACTACCCTTCAGATTTAGCAAACCCCTCCCTCCCTCCTAATTACATTGTCCCATATATCCCCCAACTCCCCCCTCTAGACCCCCTCTACCCTAGTTGTCCCTATATTACAACTTTAATAATTAATTCACATTCCGATACTTGGAGTTCAGCTTTGTAATATTTATATTTTCTATTAAATAAATAAACAATAAAATTGTAATTTTTAATCTAACTTTAAGCTACAAATTTTAAGGCAATAAATTGTACACTTCAAGTTATATTACAAATACACAGCTTTATGAGTTTTTGCCAAAAAAACACGTTTTCTTATCCCTATATCTTGATGGTGTAATGTAAACCTTTGTTTTTTCAAACTAAGACTTTTTGTTCAGAGATATAGGGATTTAATAAACAGTTGGGGACAAAAACCTAATTTTTTTAACGATAATTAAAATAAAGTTACAATTATCTATACATAGTTATAGTTGAAAATTAAAATCACAATCTTAAAATATGGAGGTTGCAATTAAATAAACTTAAAGTTTAAACTTTGCATCAAAGTTTTATGAACTACAATTTAAGATTCAAATCAGTTTAAATTTGAAGAAATATTACATATATTCTAAAATTGTATTACTGGTCCATATAATTTACAATTAGAAATTTACAAATCTCAATTAAAAAATGTAATAACAAAATAACATTTAAAATTAAGATTCAGTCTACATTTTAAGGTTTTGGTTAAAAATTATTTTTGGCTCAAATAAAATTTATGTTTACAATATTTATATCTTTTTGTATTTCCAAACCTAATTTTCAATATTAAAACCATTATTTATACAAAACCTATAGACATCAACATTAAACACACTTTAATTTTTCTTGATAATGATTTAATAAAAACCAAATTATTTATTTTGTTGTATTTAATGATGTATAATGTTCAAGTCCGGAGAGTTTCTTAGCTGCTCCAGGTGCGGGTTAGAGCACTACTGCTCTCAGAACTGCCAGAAAGAGCATTGGAAGGAACATAAGACAAGCTGCAGACCAGTTCTACAAGTTCAGGTATACATAGGTTGGGATCCAGGTATACATAGGTTGGGATCTTTGATGAAATAGACTGTAGAAGTAATTTATAAAGTGACCCCTACATTTAAAAAATGATCCCTACATTTATAAAGTTACCCCTACATTTATAAAGTGACCCCTACATTTATAAAGTGATCTCTACATTTATAAAGTGATCCCTACATTTATAAAGTGACCCCTACCTTTATAAAGTGACCCCTAAATTTATAAAGTGACCCCTACATTTATAAAGTGACCCCTACATTTACAGTGACATGTACAATTCACAACCCTTTTAATTTTTGCTTAATCATCGACGACGGAGAAATTTGAAGCTGAGAATAAATTGCTGAAAAAGCCCACGGTCTTCGTTTTAATCGAATAAAAATGTTTATTTTCTGTGACGGCTAGTAAACAAATGATTATATTTTCTGTGACAGATACAGATACAGATACAGATACAGATACAGATACAGATACAGATACAGATACAGATACAGATACAGATACAGATACAGATACAGATACAGATATAGCTACAGATACAGATAAAGATACAGATACAGATACAGATAAATAAATATAGTTGTTTAGATTGAGAATAAGGGATACGGATTGGTAGCAACAAGAAATATAAAGGAGGTAAATATTTTTTTCGAAACACAGAAAAAAAATCTAATTTGTCATTATTCAACAATCAACATTAATCGTTTGAAATTGATTGTTTAGATATTCATGTTTATTTAGGTACTACAAGACTAGGCAGAGAAACATTAATCTATTTATATACTTTGCTTGGGTGTTCGTTTATTTGTCTGTGTCCAATGAACGTCAAAACGGCTGAACTGAACGGGTCCAAACGTTGTGTGGGACCTCAAAATAAAAAAAATTAGTCTCCAAAGAAATTCAATTGTCATTTAATTTTGAGCATCCAGGGAATTATTTTATAAAATCCCCGAAAGTTTTTTTTATTATTTTTTAATGTATACAATGAGATAATGTTCACAATTGAAATAGAAGATACTGTAAGCCTAGTGTATCTAAATTTATTTCATGGTTTTACAAATACTTTTAAACTAGAAAAATTGCAGAACAATTAAGAATTGTTAATCTTGAGCGCTTTGAGCTCGACATCAGATGTGGACACTTTTAATTGAGGATAAATTCTCGATCCCTTCTTTTTAGTTATCCCTGGATGCAGGGTACGATCCCCACGGAAAATTGAAAATCAGGGAATTCAATTAATCCATAGATCTGCAAATGATAGAGATCAATACTTAATCCTGAGTTTCACAACAAAAAAGTTCTGAATAGTTTGATTTTGTTATCGTCTTATGTTTCTTTAATAATAAAGTTAGAGTTCCAAACTGCACTAATATATAGGTTACTAGAATTTGTTACTATAAATTGCAAATATTTCGACCTGATGATAAATATCAAATATATATCAAAATTGAATAAAAAGATAACTAATTGTATATATTTCCAAGCCAATAAATAGTGAAGGAATGTACATAGATGTACATAATAGTGATGTAGATTATGTACATAGATGTACATAATAGTGATGTAGATTATGTACATAGATGTACATAATAGTGATCTAGATTATGTACATAGATGTACATAATAGTGATGTAGATTATGTACATAGATGTACATAATAGTGATGTAGATTATGTACATAGATATACATAATAGTGATGTAGATTATGTACATAGATGTACATAATAGTGATGTAGATTATGTACATAGATGTACATAATAGTGATGTAGATTATGTACATAGACATAGAAATGTAAAAACTCAAAGGAATGGTTTGGGGGGAACAAATGGCCACGGTCAGCGGCAATAAAAGCAGAAAATCCGAGAAATCTTGACAAAAAGTGAAATATTTAAAAAAACCATTAACAAAGGATAAGGCACCCTCTAGACTTCCGAAAATGCAAAGCAATCCCTTTATCTGTATAAAATGTACATAATGGAGTTCAAAATAAAATATTTGTTAAAAATAAATTAGGTTTAAATTAAGTTGTCTAGTTTTAATTAGGTTTAAATTAAGTTGTCTAGTTTTAATTAGGTTTAAATTAAGTTGTCTAGTTTTAATTAGATTTAAATTAAGTTGTCTAGTTTTAATTAGGTTTCAATTAAGTTGTCTAGGTTTAATTTGCTGACAGTACAAAGAGGGGTAATTTTGAATAATGTGAACCATTTAGATTTAATTAGTACATAGGTTGATAAATTAATAGATTAATAGATTAATAGATTAATAGATTATAGATTAATAGATTTATAGATTAATAGATTGATAGATTAGTCCTAAATTTAATCTCAAACTCAACAAATACTGGGGTTTTCAACATTAGTAAAACGTAGAGATTTGTTGAAGCCTAGAAAATATTTATACAACTGATTCTTTCGAATAAAATCTAATTTATTAATCTTTTATCTTTGCAACCACACGTCGTAGAACCATGACCATGACTTTTGCAAGATCATAGGTATATTGAAGATTTACATCATGAGTGACTGAATTAATGAATGAACTACTCATCTTCAACCTTCAGTCGGTGATTCAAGATTTTAACCTGGCCTGTAGAAAGTAGATTCGTATGAGTAAACTAAAAGTGTAAAGAATGTAAAGAATGTTTATTTCCTACGTCAGTAAATATGGAGGTTAATCAAGTTCATATAAAAAATTCATTTGATTAGAAATTGATTTGGATCGTACCAGTCTCTACACTGTGAATATTTCAAACGGTTTTCACATAATTTATTAAATAAAGATATTCCAAATAAATTCAAGGGCCTTCTATTTTAATTATGAACATTTTCTCTTTGTATACTTTGTAAAACAAAAACAAACAAAAAAGTCGCGAATTTAAAAAAAACCCGTGGATTTTCAGATTAAATGACAACCGAACTTTGTTGGAGGCTAAGTTTGAAATTTTGATCGTTCATAAACCTTCCCTTGGGTCACATACAAAATTTAGGCCCGAAAGGTTCAGCCGTTTTGAGGTTTTTTGAGATACAAAAACAAACAAACAGACAGACAAGCAAAGTAAATGTATAGAAGATAAGGTATAAAAGACTGGTTTAAACTAAATTCAAACTAATTAGGTGTTGAACTTCATTTTTCACCCGCATTTAAACTTATTAATTTAGTTCTACCTAATCCAGCCAAAACTTTCAGGTTCTAGTTTTTAACCCAAACCTGGATACTTAAATGTTTAATTCATACCTGGATAATTAAATGTTTAATTCATACCTGGATAATTAAATATTTAATTCAAACCTGGATACCTAAATATTTAATTCAAACCTGGATACTTAAATGTTTAATTCATACCTGGATAATTAAATGTTTAATTCAAACCTGGATACTTAAATGTTTAATTCAAACCTGGATACTTTCAATGTATTTCAGGGAGAATTGATCTTGTCTAACCAATATATTTCAGGGAGAATTGATCTTGTCTAACCATATATTTCAGGGAGAATTGATCTTGTCTAACCATTATATTTCAGGGAGAATTGATCTTGTCTAACCAATATATTTCAGGGAGAATTGATCTTGTCTAACCAATATATTTCAGGGAGAATTGATCTTGTCAAACCAATGTATTTCAGGGAGTATTGATCTTGTCTAACCAATGTATTTCAAGGAGAATTGATCTTTTCCAACCAATATATTTCAAGCAGAATTGATCTTGTCCAACCAATGTAATTCAGGGAGATTTGATCTTGTCTAACCAATGTATTTCAGGGAGTATTGATCATGTCTAACCAATGTATTTCATGAAGAATTGATCTTGTCTAACCAATGTATTTCAGAGAGAATTGATCTTGTCTAACCAATGTATTTCAGGGAGAATTTATCTTGTCTAACCAATGTATTTCAGGGAGTATTGATCTTGTCTAACCAATATATTTCATGAAGAATTGATCTTGTCTAACCAATGTATTTCAGAGAGAATTGATCTTGTCTAACCAATGTATTTCATGAGGAATTGATCTTGTCTAACCAATGTATTTCAGGGAAAATTAATTTTGTCTAACCAAAATATTTCAAGGAGAATTGATCTTGTCTAACCAATATTTTTCAGGGAGAATTGATCTTGTCCAACCAAAATATTTTAAGAGAATTGATCTTGTCTAATCAATATATTTCAGGGAGAATTGATCATGTCTAACCAATATATATCAGGAAGAATTGATCTTGTCCAACCAAAATATTTCAAGGAGAATTGATCTTGTCTTACCAAAATATTTCAGGGAGAATTGATCATGTCTAACCAATATAATTCAGAGGAATTGATCTTGTCTAACCCATGTATTTCTGGGAGAATTGATCTTGTCTAACCATAATATTTCAGGGAGAATTGATCTTGTCTAAGCAATATATTTCAGGAAGAATTAATCTTGTCCAACCAATGTATTTCAGGGAGAATTGATATTTTCTAACCAATGTATTTCAGGAAGAATTAATCTTGTATAACCAATGTATTTCAGGGAGAATTGATCTTGTCCAACCAATGTATTTCAGGGAGAATTGATATTGTCTAACCAATGTATTTCAGGAAGAATTGATCTTGTCCAACCAATGTATTTCAGGGAAAATTGATATTTTCTAACCAATGTATTTCAGGAAGAATTAATCTTGTATAACCAATGTATTTCAGGGAGAATTGACCTTGTCTAACCAATGTATTTCAGGGAGAATTGATATTGTCTGAGATGCCTGTATTGATATTAAGTAAGAATGAGAAGGATAGAACATCAAGAAACCTGGAGATACAGTTTCAGAAATTGAGTAAAAACGTCCAGGTTCACAAAATAAATTATAAACTTCTATCTTTCTTTACCAAATAATTAATTTAGTCATTTAAATACCACATTCAAACAGAAGATTTAACTGAACCTTAGGATCGTCACATGTGAAGAGTTTCAAGTCGTCTTTACAGTCTCATTCTTTGTGGGTAACCCTGTACCTACACGACAGGGATAATCATAAACACTGGTTTACATATATCAATAAATCAAATTTGCTTAATAAATCTAAAACTAAATATTGACGAAAAGAAACAAAATATTTATATCAAGAACTTTTAAAATTAAAGACATTTATCTTACAAATTAATAGATTTCAGAATCAAAGGAGAAATCCGACAGATAATTAGAACTCATTTTGAAAATGATTAAGTAAAATGAGTAATAGCTGTGCACCATGTTCATTTAAAACCATAACTTGTGTCTAACAGTCGACTTCCTATTTTACACTTTTATAGGTCTTACCAAATAGATTATCAAGTACAAAAGGTGGCATCAGAGAAATGGACCAATTTTACACAACTCACAAGTGTCAAATATAACAAGGAAGAGAACATTTTCTCCCATTAGTTGACATATTTTCTAAGATTAAATATAAAAGTGTAAAAACAGAAAAAAATATCTCAAAATTAAAGATAAGCACTTTATTATCACTATGTTTGATAATTTTGTCGGACACATAAAACTGTTGACTCTTGTGACGTAAGAATACAAACGTACTGGGAGAGTACAAATTCTACCTTGCCATTTATTGTACTTGATATCTATTTGGGTCTCACTGTATTTTGTTTCAGAAAAAGATTCTGAGTTTACATGATGAGAATAGAGAAGGAGAAGAGGAAAGAAAACTAGCGCGTATTTTCTTCAGCAATGCAATAGATGTTAATAGTGAGAAATCTGCTGCTCTTTATCTTACTATTCCTAGGTAAAGTTTTAAACAACTTGAAATAGGAAATAGCGTTAGATATTGTCAATCACCAAAATAAACATAGAATTTTGGGTATACTGTACTGTACTGTACTGTACTGTACTGTACTGTACTGTACTGTACTGTACTGTACTGTACTGTACTGTACTGTACTGTACTGTACTGGTACATATTGAGATGAAGCCATTAAAGAGTTATTGTGGTTTTATCACAAACTAAACTATGCCATTGAACAACCTTTAGCTCAGAGAGAAGTGAGAATTTCTTTGAAAATGAAAAACTGTTTGTTTAGAATAAACTACTGTTCACCGAACTGTTTGTTTAGAATAAACTACTTTTCACCGAACTGTTTGTTTAGAATAACTATTCCTGTTCACCGAACTGTTAGTTTAGAATAAACTATTCCTGTTCACCGAACAGTTTGTTTAGAATAAACCACGCCTGTTCACCGAATTATTTTTTAGAATTAACCACTCCTGTTCACCGAACGTGGTATGGGGATACGGTCCTAATAGCCCGCTTTCTAAGGTAGACCCACTGGAAACTTATGAATAACAGATCACATACAAACCGAAATTTACCCTTTAAACATAGTTTTCACATATATTGTGTATATTTGTTTTGTTGGGCTTTCTGTTTTAAGACAGCATGAAAAGTCCATTGGGATTTCTTTGGTGGATTTTGAATGCCAAATTTAACGTGACGGAGCTCGAGCATATTCCCATAAAGTCACGTTACGTTAGATTGGACCAGAGAGTTAATCGTTGATTTATGCCTCGGTACTCTGTCTACTTTTTATGAACCAAACCATACCTCTCTCACACTAAGCTTATACTTTATGTGCGTACTGCAGTGATCTGGAGTATTATGACCAAAAAAATAGCGGGGTTTAGTGGAGAATAGTCTTGTTTTATCTCTGTAATCTGTGAAATATATATTCTGAAAGGTTTTCTTAATTCAAAGTTTAACTTTTATTGAATTAATAAATGGAAACTAAATATATGCCATTCTCTACTCATAACCTTTAAATATCGAGTCTATATGTCAGGAAACCTTAGTTCTAGACCAATACCAATTCAGGGAGTATCGCGCCCCTCATACTAGCTAATAGCTAATTTTTAGTTATTTAGAGCAGTTATTTTTCACAGATATTAGGTCATATTTTTAGATTTAGATCAGTTTCAAAATCCTTAGCGAAGTTTCTAATTTAAGGCCGTCTAAAGTAGTGGGTCTGATAAAAGATATATTCAATCAAAATGATAATCAAATTAGATCAATAAAGCATGGAATTTCAAGAAAAAATTAATTGTCACTGAAATTTTTTTTTTCTCTTAAAAATTTCCTTTTTTGTTGTTTAAGCTCCCCTTGGACTGTAAAGTGAAACCAACTTGTTAAAAATGTACATTTTTACAAAACGCGAGTGTCCAAAAAAAGGAGACTTAAACATTCTTCTTTTTAAATTGATTCACCAAAACTACATGGCTACCAGAACCAACAAAGAATGAGATTCTACAGAGACGACTGTACGCGAGTTATTTTATTTTTATTTTCTTGCAACCTGGGCTGTTTGCAACTGTTAACTTGTTTCTTTCCTTTGCCAATCATTTAGTAAATTATTAAAAAAAAGGTTCTGATCGTTATTAAAGTATCATTCTTTGGTTTAGGGAACCAATCCAAACTTTTTTTTTCGAATTTGAGTTTTTTGGAACAATTCACGTTTCTCCTAGCCTTGAATCTAACCTTGGAAACCTGAGATACAATATAAATCGTCTTTAGTTGCTCTGAAGTATGTAGAATAATTGCACGTGTTTGGTTATATTAGTTGCTCTGAAGTAGAATAATTGTACGTGTTTGGTTATATTTTTATAACATGTAGAACACATATAATTTAAAACAGTTAAATAGAGACCTTATGAGATCTTAAATTGACAACATTTGTGAAGAATTTTTTTTTAGTGTGATTTGTTTTTCTATTTCTTTTTATCTGTTTGTAGGATTTATTTTGATGTTTTTTTCAGGAGAATATATTTTTTAAAGTGTTCCGTCATAAATCAGACATGACCAAAAGATTCACTAGAAATCACTTTAGCGTCTCTTTATATTACGTGTACAGTCCCTTTAAATAAAATTGTTGTGTTTAATTTCATTGTTTTCTTTAAAATCATAACTTAAGTCTAACAGTCGTCTTCCTATTCCATAGTTTTTTATCTCAGTGTTTTTAGCTTTGAAAAACTTGGACTTTTTACATCGTTGTATATGTTCTAGGAGGTTCGAGCTTTAAAAGAAATCAAGAAAGGTTCTGAACTTGAAGCAAACTATATAGATTCATGGGAGGCTTCGTTTAGAGATCATTCCAGGAGGCAGGTAATCTCTAGAGATCATTCCAGGAGGCAGGTATAATCTCTAGAGATCATTCAACTCTAAGCAGGTAAACTTTAGTGATCATTCCACTCTAGGCAGGTAAACTCTAGAGATCATTCCTCTATAGCCAGGTAAATTATATTGTTCATTCAACTCTAGGCAGGTAAACTCTAGAGATCATTCCTCTCTAGGCAGGTAAACTCTAGAGATCATTTCTCTCTAGACAGGTAAACTCTAGAGATCATTCCTCTCTAGGCAGGTAAACTCTAGAGATCATTCCTCTCTAGGCAGGTAAACTCTAGACATCATTCCACTCTAGGCAGGTAATCTTTAGAGATCATTCCACCTTAGGCAGGTAAACTCTAGTGATCATTCCTCTCTAGGCAGGTAAATTGTATAGTTCATTCAACTCTAGGCAGGTAAACTCTAGAGATCATTCCTCTCTGGGCAGGTAAACTCCAGAGATCATTCCTCTCTAGGCAGGTAAACTCTAGACATCATTCCACTCTAGACAGGTAATCTTTAGAGATCATTCCACCTTAGGCAGGTAAACTCTAGTGATCATTCCTCTCTAGGCAGGTACTCTTNCATTCTACTATAGACAGGTAATCTCTAATGACCATTCTACTATAGGCAGGTAATCTCTAAATGCCATTCTACTATAGGCAGGTAATCTCTACAGGTTATTCTACTATAGGCAGGTAATCTCTAATGACCATTCCAATATAGACAGGTAATCTCTAAAGACCATTCTACTATAGGCAGGTAATCTCTAAAGACCATTCTAATATAGGCAGGTAATCTCTACAGGTTATTATACTATAGGCAGGTAATCTCTAATGACCATTCTACTATAGGCAGGTAATCTCTACAGGTTATTCTACTATAGGCAGGTAATCTATACAGGTTATCCTACTACAGGCATGTACTGTACAATCTAAACTAGAAGCCACTTTTTGACAGAATAGAAAAGTGTAATGAAGGGTAACGGAAAAATGTTAAATGTGAGAGAAGTAGTTCAACTTCTTTTTGTGATAGATAGTTGATAAATCATTGGTTGAAACAAAACTTGTTGATTTATAACCTCTAATTGGGGTTTGAGGCTCAGTGTTTTTAACTTCGCTAGATTCAACACCTTATTACTTTAACCATTACTTTAACCAAGTTCAAACATCTCTCTCAGGGGCGGATACAGGAATTAAGTAAGGGGGGTGCTAGATTTTTTTCGGAACAAAAAAATCAAAGATAAGGAACCAAAAGACGCGCCGCATGCGATTTTATTTTACTTTTCTGTTTTGCACTAGGTTTTCTTTTCCTTAAGTGCTTTTGAGAGCTATTCTGAAATCTCAGGGGGGTGGGAAGGTTTTTCCGCCCCTCAATGTATCCGCCCCTGATCTCTCTCCGCTCGTTTATAAATTCCCAGCCGATATCAAATTATAGTTTAACAAATTTTAGGATCTTCTCCAACGCTGGAGTTTTACATGCAGTTGTAAAATATGCAGTTTACCAAACCAGCTTTTAGAAGAAGATGATAAATACAGGTCAGTATAGATTACACAGCTAGACACTACAATAGAGTACAATAAAGGACATTCAAACCTTTAATCGTCAATATTTTTACTCAAGGTACTAATGCAAGGAAAGTTATTTCAAAGATGTACACATTTTTTGTACTGGAGTGTACTGTCTTTGGGCGGAAAAGTAAACACAAGACGGATGTCACAGCCTGACATGGAATCCATCTTAACAAAAATAATCTATAAAATATTCTGGTCATGGGAAACTATTATGTGAATTATCAAAATTATCAAAATTTAACCTCCTCGGATACTAAACGAACACTGATGCATCTATTCGTGTTTACAAATTCCGCCCAGAGAGAACTGGTTTCAATATGTACGCAGAGTATACGCGACCGCAATTAACTTTCCTTGCATTAGTACCTTGTTTTTACTGAGGAGGCGAGGCTTTTTGTCAATTTTTAAAAATCAAGGTGGAGTCAACTTTAAGACTTATGTCAATTACTTAAATACGAGGGGAGGCTTTTTTTCAATTGCAAAAAACAGAGGTGAAGTCAATTTCAATGTGGCGAGGCTTTTAATCAACTACATTATAACGAGGCAAGTTTTTTGTCAATTTTTAAAAACAAAAGCGAAGTCAACATCAATGTGGCGTGCGTGGCAATTTCCAATTTCCATTAATCGAGGTGGAGTCAACTTCAATGTATGTGACAAGGCATTATCAATTTCTAAAAATAGAGGTGAGGCTTTTTGCCAGTTTCTAAAAACCGAGGCGAGGCTTTTTGTCGATAACTTTAAATGAGGCGAGACTTTTTGTCAATTTCTTTAAATCTAGGAAGAGTCAACTTCAATGTTTTAATACAAAAATAAAATTAAATAAAAATAATTGACAAAAAGGCTCACCACATAGATGGTGACTCCGCAATGATATTGGACAGAAAGCCTGCACCTCGTTTTTTAACTACATAAATTAAGCCTTTTTAATTTTTCATAGTAATTATCAATAAGCCTCATCACTTTAAATGTTGAAATCCCTTATTTTTTAGTACTGGACAAAAAGCCTTGCTACATTTATGTGAAGTCTGCCTCTGTTTCAGTACTTGACAAAAGGACACGCAGCTTTGATCTATATATATATATATATATATATATATATATATATGTTATTCATTAGTATTTAAATAATCTAAAAGTGGCAACAGTTTAACAATTCATATTTCTTTAGTACTTTTAATTAATTAACATCATACTTATATTTTAAAAACTAAACTTATCATATTTTAAAGGAAAATGATAATGATTCAGCACTCATTAGTTCCTAAATACATGGAAAGGTAAGTATTAACTGGACTATAAGTCTAATTTCAAGTCACCTTCCGTGCATTGAGGGGAATGCCTGATTTTAAACCTTTAAAATGTTGACTGATCAACGAGGACAGAGAAATTTATGTGTTTATCTCTAGAATGGTGTTTAAACAGCTAACGTAACGCATATTCCTAAGATATTCCAGAATATTCTATTTCTTACTGTGATAATTAAGGGAGTCCGTCATCCTAGATCAGTCAAAGGTTTAAAGGTAACTGTAGATAATTAAGGATAAGTCCGTCATCCTAGATCAGTCAAAGGTTTAATGGTTACTGTAGATAATTAAGGGAGTCCGTCAACCTAGATCAGTCAAAGGTTTAAAGGTTACTGTAGATAATTAAGGATAATTCCTTCATCTTAGATCAGTCAAAGGTTTAATGGTTACTGTAGATAATTAAGGATAAGTCCTTCATCCTAGATCAGTCAAAGGTTTAAAGGTTACTGTAGATAATTAAGGATAAGTCTGTCATCCTAGATCAGTCAATGGTTTAAAGATTACCTGTAGATTTAAAAAAAATTAAATTTCATTCTGTCGACATAAATCTACTTCCAGGTGGAATGTAAGAAAAGCTTTAGAAGCGGCTAAAACAAAGCTCAATCTTTCTCTGCAGATCAAAGACGACATTTTAACATCTCTTCCTTCAACATATCTCGAGGTTTATGAAATGATTAGGATAGCTGAGGTATTAATATCTTTAAAGTTTAAACATTCTTGAATTACTTTTTCAGTCTTTCGTCTTCAATTTCTTTGCATATTACATCTTTTAACAAAATTGATAAAATAGATAAAAATACAGCTTCTTTGAGCTTTCAGTCTTTGTGATGAGATCAGAAAATTCATTATCAATAATGTTTTTGTTCTTTGTTGTTAAAACATTTTTGCAGAATTTCTAGCTCCTATAATTCTTGCATTAATTTTCAGTTTACCCAGTTTACCTATAAAGAATGAGTCTGTAGACTGAGATCTTGCCAGGCTAAATTTGTTACATAAATGTTCTGGGTTGACTCTTTCTGGGTAGTCTGACTGGACAGTACGACTGAATGTAAATACATTATGCAGTACGTATTGTACTGGCACGGATAATCCAACTCCTAGACTGGGGTGTGTAATGTGTATTGACTAAGCTTGACACACAGGGTGTCCCAGAAAACATGAGATTTAAGTGGCAATTTGAGATCATCTTTGTGGATTATGTTTTTAGTGTGGTGATGCTTTCACTAGGAAAGCTGAAATCATCGGCATGATTCGTCTGCTAGAGTTGAGAATTTGTTTGTTTATGTTTTGATTGCATACTGTACACTGTACTTAGTAAAATGAGAAAATTCACAGTTGTTCTTGTTCCTCTTCACAGTTCATATTGCATTAAAATAAGATAATTGATAACAAAGTCCCAAGTTTATTGTGTATTCTGATCTGAAGATTTAATTTATACTAAAATGAGATATTTTTTAAAGTCTCATCCTTTGCATGGGTAAAGCAGTATGATAGTAGTTTGATAATTGGTCAAACCTTCAATTAGTTCCACTGAAGATACAGGGAGACTTATGAAACAGTAGAATAGATGAACGACTGTTAGACAATTATGATTCTTAAATAGTACAATGAGTAAAAAAACAAAGCAATTTCAAACTAATAACTTAACCTTTTGCTTTCAACAATATCCAATGCTCGTAAATTTGTCGAAATGCCGTCTTCCTACTTCACAGTTATTCTGGTACCACTGGAGCATATTTTAAACTCATTGGTAAAAGAGACCTTCCATTCAAAAAGTTGAACTCCCGATTTACAAGGGTACCAACCAATTAAAGGGACAGACCGGCTATGGAAGGTAGTTGAACTGAGTATGCAGTGTTGTAGAAAGCTTCTTTAGGATTCATTTGAGACATATAAACTATAAAATCTGTAAATCCTGAGTTTGAGCGCCAATTCGACGTTCAAAACTCCTACTTTGGGGATGGATACGTTTTCAGAATCGGTTTTTTAAAATTACTAAATAACGACGCCAAAAAATAAAGTAAAAATCATACAGTAATCTTATTAGATGGTTGGGAACATATTTGTCAACAGAAATTTGCCAATAAATCAATGCTAGAATCAATTATTTAGTTTTCATCATTATTTTGAATTTCTTATTTTCGTTGAATTTATTCGCAGATTTCTTCAAATTCTTCAAATGTCGTCTTTCAATAAAAATTCTAGAAAATCTGCACAAAATCTTTGTGAATAATGAGAAACCAGAATAATGAGAAAATATAAACTAATATTTGAAGAAGATTACTTATTTTCGATGATAAGATTAATTCTTATTTTCTCAACCGGTTCCTAAACAACTAATAAGTTTACTGTAGAGTTTTGTTTACATTTTTTGTCGTCGTTATTTAATAATTTAAAAAAACAATTCTGAAAACGTATCCACCCTCAAAGTAGGAGTTTTGAACGTTGAATTTGCGCTTAAACTCAGGATTTACAGATCTTTAAAAAGTTTAATATGTCTCAAATGAACCCTAAAGAAGCTTTCCACAACACTGCATACTCAGTTTAACTACCTTGCATAGCAGGTCTGTCCCTTTATTCCTTCGTCTGAGCATTCAGTTACAAATATTTCAGTCTTAAAATTGAAATGTGTTAACTGTTGGTTCTCTTCACAAGTGACTTGCGGATTTATGCGGCAAAGACAAGGAATAAAAACGTTTTAAGATTGAACAACTACAATATCTTTCTCATTGATGCTTAGATAAAGAAATTAAAGGTACCATTCTGAATGTCCTTTTAAGGTTCTAGGTGAGAAGGTTGAACCTGGTTCTCCATACCTAGAAAAAGCACGGAAACTATCAACAAGGTTCGGATTCTCTTTTCTCCAGTCCTTCAACTCTAAGGGATATATATAACCTTTAATAGTATTTTAGAATTAGAAATGGATTATAGATCTGTGATTCGTAGAACTCATTAACTAAGAAAATTCCAAGGTCTCATGATGTACAGCTGTTACAGCTATTACCTACAGGGTGTCCCACGAAACATGACAGTTGGTGAATAGTTTTGAATATTTCTTCTTCCATGAATTGCTAAATTCTTTGATACCAGATATAAAAATTACAAAATATCACATGGCAGTTATACTATTTAAAGTTAAATATATTTGAGTGAAAGATTTTTTTTAACGAAAAAAAACACAAAAAAAGTCATCAATATCTAATATACAGGGTCTTCAGGGACTTCTGTTTCGTCTTTGTTCCATTCGGGATTATATCATTTTGTTGTATCACAATTAAAACATTTTATACAGAAAACTACTGGGATCCCAGGATTTCCAAAATGTGGTCTACCATTTTTTCCCTGCAAAATTGACGGAATTATTATGAAATTGGTCCAGATTCCAGTTTATTAAAACTCAACAAAACTGTTCAAATGTTTACTATCTCCGCCAATTTCAAGGATACAAAGAAGATAGACCTCAATTTGAAAAGCTCATTAGACTTTTAATCTTTTTTATGTACTTTCTGTCATTTCAATTATCGGAAATCAAAGACGATATTCAAGTCGTCTCTCAATTCCCATGCTTATGGGACACCCTGTAGTATATTCACTATTCATCAACTGTCATGATTCATGGGACACCCTATACAAAGGCTTAGAATTCAGAGACGACTGAACGGAATTCTTTTTCTTGGCTCCCTTCATCTGTTTTCGTGTCTTATTTGACAAGTGTACTTTTAAACCTGGAGAAAATTTATCTTTTTCTCTAGACTGCGTGGTTCTAGGATCTAGGTTCTATAATCCTAAACTAACAAATTAATTCAACATCTGATTAAACATGAAAGGAGAGAAGAATTTAGAATGAAAAACATCCCCAGGCAACATCTGCCGCCTGTAAACTTTACCTGGAATCTTTAAACAACAAAATCTTTAATATTTGGCCCTTTCAAGTTCAAGTTTCAAGTTTCAACATAGATTTATATTGATATCTTGTATTTTCAACCCTAAAAGGGGTCGTTCAATACATTTTCCATTACTGTCATGCCAGCTCACTGCAAAACATAAGACGTACTGCTAATTTTAAAAGTTAAGATGCTGGTAGGTTTCAGAAGGGTAAACGATGTCGAGAAAATGTACGTTTTTTTGACAAACATCACCATATGACACATGTTTATTTATACATTTTCAAAAATGTAAATTTTTATATACCTGTAGCTAAAACTTAGAATAGAAAAGAAAATCAATAGAATAAAGAAATATTGGACTAATCTAAGAATTAACAGATATAGGACTATCTCAGAATTAACGGATATAGGACTATCTCAGAATTAACAGATATTGGACTATCTCAGAATTAACAGATATTGTAGACTATCTCAGAATTAACAGATATAGGACTATCTCAGAATTAACAGATATTGAACTATCTCAGAATTAACAGATATAGGACTATCTCAGAATTAACAGATATAGGACTATCTCAGAATTAACAGATATTGGATTATCTCAGAATAAACAGATATTGGACTATCTCAGAATTAACAGTAATTGGACTATCTCAAAATTAACAGATATTGTAGACTATCTCAGAATTAACAGATATTGGACTATCTCAGAATTAACAGATATTGTGGACTTTCTCAGAATTAACAGATATTGTGGACTATCTCAAAATTAACAGATATTGGAATATCTTAGAATTAAAATTTTAGACTTTATATTAAGGAAGACTTTTCCTATCTTTAGCTCGTTAATGTCTGAAGGAACCATTAAATCTCACTCTAGAGGAAATATTAAGAACGGTACGGTAATGTAACAATTACACGGCAACAACCTACTTCAACATCAGCAACAAAAAATGTAACAATTACACGGCAACTACCTACTTCAATATCTGGAACAACAAATGTAACAATTACACGGCAACAACCTACTTCAATATCAGGAAAAACAAATGTAACAATTACACGGCAACAACCTACTTCAATATCAGGAACAACAAATGTAACAACTACACGGCAACAACCTACTTCAATATCAGGAAAAACAAATGTAACAATTACACGGCAACAACCTACTTCAGTATCAGGAACAACAAATGTAACAATTACACAGCAACAACCTACTTCAATATCAAAAACAACAAATGTAACAATTACAAGGCAACAACCTACTTCAATATCAGGAAAAAAAATGTAACAACTACAGAACAACAAATGTAACAATTACACAGCAATCTTAATATATCTTATTTTTGATTTAGAAAGGAATTGAGTCTTTGGAACAAAATCAAATATTTAAACCTCAATATCTTTGGAACCCGATGGTGTAAATCTTTGATATTTCAAACTCAGATTATTTGATTTAACAGAATTCATAGTTTGAAATATCTAAGGTCTACAACATTTGACTCCAAAGATATAGTGATTATAAAATCAGAGTTTGTGGCAAAAACTAAATTCCTTTACGTTATAGATTTTTTGTTAAACATTAGTTTTTATCGCCTATTTTTCGATAAGAGAAGCCCTTCATTTAAATAGGAATTTCACAACGTATCCTTGAAAGAACCCTGAATCTGACCAATACTGTAGGATATAAGGCTGTTTCCTGGCTTGAAAAATTGTTCAATTCTGATAATTTCTCCTTTGTTTCTACAGCAAGAAATGAGAAAGTCATTTCTTTAGAGAAATAGCAAATAATAATGTTTTCCAAAACCAAGAATTGAATATATTATTTATACTATGTTATTTCTCTAAGCCATGATTTTTCTTTTCTTCAAGATGATTAATAAAAAACAATTGAAACTTTAAACAAGTAACAAAAAAAAGATTGCGAATGAAAAATGAAGAACAATAGATTTCATAGTTGCAAAGGCGTTTCAAAATTGCGTTTTCACCAAAATCAATATTTTACTCTCACTTTTTTTGCAACAAATTCGAATTTTAAATTTAATTTTATTTGACTTCATTTATTATTTCCAAAATCTGAAATTGCATTTTTCTATTTTAGTGACTGTAAGTTTTCTAAACTACCTACTCAATAAAAAGTCAATTAATATAATATTATTTATTTAGTTGCATAGATAATAAGACAATATCATCAGTTAAATGTGATAAAATATGTTATTACAATATATGATATATTTTGATATATTTTGTGGAACATATTTCAGATATATTTTATGGTAAGTCAATAAATAGAAGAATGTACTGAATTGAAAATGAATTTAATTCCGGTTTCTTATTAATTTTAATATTTTCTATAATATTGATTTAACACATGTGAAAATATAAAATGAAATAAACTGAAATCAACACAAAATTCTTTTTCCCTCTACAAGAGGATTATTTGTTTGCAGAAAATATATATTTTTTTATAGAATATCATTCAATCTCAATTAATAGACGACGACGACTTTATAATCATAAACTGTGTTTTAGTTATGAATTCCAACATAAATGAAACCTAAGAATTTGTTTGTGTATAGAACAGACTTGACAGACTTGTCTCGTCTTAATTCTGTAATGATAAAAACAGTCCTAGAACAATTCTTGCTAAAAGTTAATTTAGCATGATTAAATTTGCATAATTGTTTAATTGTCTAGCTACCGAAAGGGGTTGGGAAGGTAAGATTTTAAAAGTGTAGATGTACGATGTACAGCTAGTGTACATAAACTGTATAATTAGAATTGTTTTTATTTAACCGTGAGCCAAAGTTTGATCAGAAAACATCAAATTTGAAATAAAGTTTGTTAATTCAAAACTAGAAATATAATTTGAAATAAAGTTTGTTAATTCAAAACTAGAAATATAATTTGAAATAAAGTTTGTTAATTCAAAACTAGAAATATAATTTGAAATTAAAATTGATAATTAAAACTAGAAATATAATTTGAAATAAAGTTTGATAATTCAAAACTAGAAATATAATTTGAAATTAAGTTTGATAATTAAAACTAGAAATATAATTTGAAATTAAGTTTGATAATTTAAAACCGGAATATAATTTGAAATAAAGTTTGATAATTCAAAACTAGATATATTATTTGAAATAAAGTTTGATAATTCAAAACTAGAAATATAATTTGAAATAAAGTTTGATAATTAAAACTAGAAATATAATTTGAAATTAAGTTTGTTAATTCAAAACTAGAAATATAATTTGAAATAAAGTTTGATATTTCAAAACTTGAAATATAATTTGATTTTATAATTTATGATTAGAAAACCAAAAGAAATAATTCATAATTGAACCAAAAGTGTTAAAGATAAAAAGAAATGTATAGCAAATCTTATAGATTTTGCAAAATCACTACGCTTTGCGCCAAACTTTTTGGGAAACTTTGCATTGCTCCTTTAGATTATATTAGTATCGTCAATAACTTAAAAAATACTTTTTTCTCTTTAATTCTACTTAGATTGGGATTAAAGGTCCAAAAATGGTTGTAAAAAACTTAAATTTTTAAGACTATTCTTATTGTAAATAATCTAACAGTTTTATGCTAATGCAGTGAGAACCAGCAACCTGTTGAATGCATGTCGTCTTTGTTTTTTTCTTTTGGTATTCGCAGTGTTTGCAATCAGAAATATCAGTTGCAAAATAAAAAGGTAAAAATAAGATAACGACAATTCCACTGTTTTCTGGTTCTTCCTGTAGAACAAACTAAAACACTCAGCATTTAAATAGCATGGTAGAGTTATCATTTAAAGACACGATGTGGGTTTAGCTTTTTAGGGGCGGGGAGGGGAGGGGTGGGGTTATTTATATTATAATGAACTTTTGTTTTAGTCTAGTAATAGATTTGCCTTAAATATTATGTTTTATCCACAAAGAATTTTATTCTTTGTGACCACATTTCTGCTCGAATTGGGCTTACTCATTATTGTCTAATTTATCGCCCCAACTGACTTTATATACCGCTCAACACTTTATTGTCCCGGCCGTATAAATAGCAACATTGGAATATCTCAGCTTTACATTAAACTTGAAATCTGATAAAATATAAACTAAAAATTATATATATTGATTTGTTACTGCAGGGTCGTAGGTTAAACGCAAATCATTAGCGATAAATTATACATAGTTATTCATATTCAATGCACATACGGCAATGGAAGAAATCTGAGATAATATAAAATATATATAATATATATATATGAGTAACATCTTTGTGTATAATTATTACATGTGTAACTCAGCTTTGGAAAAATGTCTCTGGAAAAATCCGTTTTTATTTCTTGCATTCTCGGGGTGCCTTGGAGCACTGAACTCCGAGTTCCTAAGATGAACAGTATCCGGATGCCTAGCTGGAGCTGAGACAGGGTTCCTAAACCTGATGGTGTCCAGTCCTCTCTCGTGAAAACTAGTCGGCATCCAATGGTGGGTTGGGGAACTAGGTTCAGCTACGGAGAAACTGTTGAACCTTGAAGGCACGTACCCGGAGTTCCAATCCGGAGCTGAACCTTCAAACAGCGGGTCACGTGACCCCAGTTTTATTTTGGCGTTTTTTAGGTCGTCTTTAGTTTTCCGCCAAAGTAAACCCTGGCGTTCAGCGTTTAATTTGTCTTTAATCACCTCCTTATCATGGAACCTGAACATTGTACAGTATACAAGGATAAAGGTACAGCTGGGGTACATACACACATACTTATTTTGTGAATTAAATATCTACTGTAAATTAAAGGGTAATGCAGTTAATTATTTTAATTTATCATTAGATAAAGGTTGATACACTCGCTCAAATGGTAGAATCTATTTCTATTCTAGATCAAAAAAACTTGTAAGAAACAATTCCAAATATTTGCAGAAATTACCCTCCCCCCACCCCACCCCTTTAACAGTTTTCATTAAAAATGGGGTGTACTAAATTCTATATACTTGGTACACTCTGTCAAAAATAAAATATGCTTCAAAAAAATTCAAAATACAATTAATACATAAAAATAATCAGATCACTGCAAAACATCGAAGGTGAGGAAATATTGGTAAAATAAAATTTACTGCACACGGGACGGTTTTAAAATAAAAAGTTTAAATTAAAGAGAACTATGCGATCAGTCCAGAGTAGGTGTAAAATAAAGAGAACTATGCGATCAGTCCAGAGTAGGTGTAAAATAAAGAGAACTATGCGATCAGTCCAGAGTAGGTGTAAACTTAATTTCTTTTGCTCATCAGGATAAAACTATTTTTGGGGGAAGTAGGAATATAGTGAAATATCAAATTCTAAGAATATGTTTTAGAGAAATTAAGATGAACTTGCTTGAACAAAATGAATTATTGAAGGAATTAAAGATCTTGAGTGTTTTAGAATTAGTTTACTGACATATAAATTCATCCTTTAAAGTCACAATGGAAAAGGTAAGGGAAAAAGTCCTAATTTCTGCCACCAAGAAAGCTCTTTATAAAAAAAGAATATTATGTCAAATTTCTTTTCTGTTGTTTTTTTTTACAGTGTTTTTCAAAGATATTCTTTACTGTGACATTAATAGATGGATTTCAATGACTTAGACTTCAGACATAATCCTTCCCAAATCTCCATTGACAAAAAAAAATTAGGCAAAGTTTTTAACAAATCAAAACGAACAGGGGCGGCTTACGATATTTTAGGAGGAGTGGGGGAAAGGGGAAATAATTGAATTATCACGATTTCCCCCTGGAAATTTTTACAGGAAATTTGGTCAATTTCATGTCAAAACCATGAACAGCTGGTGGTGGAAGGTGAAAGTGCTTTAACAAGATTTTGAATTAAAAAATTGTTATTTTAAATGTGAAAAAATGGCGCTACAGGAAATATGTTATTTGAATCTATACTTAAAAATGAAAATTAAAGGGCTAGAAGGTGCCTACTCTCTCTACGTGCGCTCCTAACTTTACAAGGGGGGGGGCGTCCCCCCATTTTTCCAGGAAGGGGGACGTCCCCAAATTTTCCAGGAGGAACGTTCCCCCTTTCCTTCCATAAGCCGCCTCTGAAAATGAGTTCTTTTTAGTTGAATAAAGTTAAATAATGAATGTCTTACATATTATACTAGGGAGTCATCAACTCCATCCGAACATCCCGTTGAGGATAAGAGTTGTCCTCCCTTGATAGATAGGTCATGGAGGTCGCCGAGGAGGCTCGGTTCCCGTTGAGGCTGCCGTTATGCGTAGCGAGGCTGTTCTCTAAGGACTCGGTCCTCAGACTAAGCCTGTACCTGGCCTCGCGTATGTTTCGTTTAGTCTCCGCCCAGTTAGGTAGGTTAGTGCCAGCCCTCTGTTCTCCTATCTCCTGCTCTATTATTGACTTCTCGTAGTACCTGCAGGATACAGGGTTCAGGGTGTACATCATACTCAAGTATTAGGGTCATCGAGTACATTGTACTCGATGTACACAAATTATGTATTATAGAGAGGTCGGCATGCCTTTGAAGAAGATATTAAGCGAAGTAATTTGCTGAACATTCCGTTTAAAGGTTTAATCTATTTATTTACAAAGTTTACCCTGTTTCATAACTACCCTAGCCTTCTTTTTTCCTGTTTGCTGTAATACACTGTTGTACACTACATGATTGTACACATATATCTATCTATACATCATGCTTATGGCAAGAAATAATGGTTTTTACCGGATGTACTGGATCCAACATCCAACCTTAAATTAAAACTTTTTGCTTTTGGATCGATCTGAGTTCAATCGATGAAGCTTAGGCGATTCCGTATAAAAGTTTACAAAACCATTCATAAAAATTTCTCGTATTTTTAATAAAAGTTTAACATATTTACAATTATAATTATTTTACCTTCTAACTCCTAACAGACTAACACACCTCTTATTTCATAGACCAATTTAAAACAACTACAGAAATGTATATACTAGGCTAGTCGTTCGTTTGTTTGTCTTTTAAACGTAAGCACAGCTGAATAAGGTCAGGGAAAATTTTTAAAATTTTCATCAAAATAATTTTAAAAAATGAATCGAATAGTTAATACCAACTCTTATTTTATAATCCCCTTCTATGTAATCCATGTATAAAAACAGAAAACTCGGTAAGAAGCTAAATTTCTTCCGAAGTTGTTATAATTTGGTAAATTATTAAACCCGTCTCTTTTACATTGTTTTTTTTCACATTCTAAACCATTTTTCCATATCCTAAACCATTTTTCCACATCCTAAACCATTTTTCCATATCCTACACCATTTTTCCACATCCTAAACCATTTTTCCACATCCTAAACCATTTTTCCATATCCCAAACCATTTTTCCACATCCTAAACCATTTTTCCATATCCTAAACCATTTTTCTACATCCTAAACCATTTTTCTATATCCTAAACCATTTTTCCACATCCTAAACCATTTTCCCACATCCTAAACCATTTTCCCACATCCTAAACCATTTTTCCAGATCCTAAACCATTTTTCCACATCCTAAACCATTTTTCCATATCCTAAACCATTTTTCCACATCCTAAACCATTTTTCCACATCCTAAACCATTTTTCCATATCCTAAACCATTTTTCCACATCCTAAACCATTTTTCCATATCCTAAACCATTTTTCTACATCCTAAACCATTTTTCCATATCCTAAACCATTTTTTCACATCCTAAACCATTTTCCCACATCCTAAACCATTTTTCCACATCCTAAACCATTTTTCCACATCCTAAACCATTTTTCCAGATCCTAAACCATTTTTCCACTCCTAAACCATTTTTCCATATCCTAAACCATTTTTCCACATCCTGAACCATTTTTCCAGATCCTAAACCATTTTTCCACATCCTGAACCATTTTTCCAGATCCTAAACCATTTTTCCACATCCTGAACCATTTTTCCACATCCTGAACCACCTGAAAAAACTCCACACATGCTATCAAATAATCAACAATATTTTCTTAATATTTAGCAAGATTATTTCTTTTCTGTTTTTTTTTTCTGTAAAACATATAAGAGTAACATCAAATTAGAGCATTAAAACATACAGGGTGTCCCATGAAACATGACAGTAGTAGCAACACGACTTGAAAGTTGTCTTTGAACTTTGAATTTATTTGAGACATTTAGTCGTCAACCTACTTTCACATGTATGATTCTTGAAACAGCAATAAACCACAAAATTATCCTAATCCTGGTATTTCCCAAATGTAGTTTGCCTTTTTTGTACTGTCAATATTACCGGAAATGTTAAGAATTTCGGTTAGATTTAAATTTTATTAAAATGCCAAGACTAGGGGTATCTAGTGTTAACTCTAGAATTTGACTTCTAAAATTAGATCTGCGAATAAATTTTGCAAATTGTTTTGAAGATCAAAAACAACCTTTATTTGTCTTGCTACTGTCATGATTCGTGTGTTACCCTGTGGCTGTATCTAATCGTAACATTTTCTCTTTTGGTATTTTCCAGGGGGCGGAAACGTCATGTGTGTCTGTCTGTGTGCAAGGAATACCGAACTTGTGTACTTTAGGTATATATATATTGTGCATAAGAATCTCGGTATTTGTACAGTCTAGGAGAGTACATTTGTTTATTGTTAATTGTTTACTTAAAAATAAGTTTAATATACAAGTAATATATTATTTACATATTTCAGTCCAACACTATAAGCCAAATTTTCATGCAAATAATATAATTTGATTAAAGTTTACAATAAACTACTCGTTATTCAAGCTTAATTATAATTGACGACATTGTTCTGCAATTTTCTTGACTGTAGTCATGTTGTGTGTCTGTACCAAAAGAGTGTGTGTAAGGAATGCCGAACTCATCTGCAAAGCAGTGCGACTGGCTTTCTCATGTCAGACCAGCGCCAACGCCCTTCCCTTTATTCCTATTCCCTGGTATTTTCGCTCGAAAAATAATTTGAATGTATATCTTCTATCGGACAAATTATTTCTATCCTTTCATCTTAAGTTCCATTGTATTGATTTACTTAAAAAAAGTTTGAAACACATGGATAAATAATGGATAAATCAAGTTTAAGAGTAATTTATCAAAAACAAATAAACTTTTCCATTCTTATAAATTTATTAATAGAATATAAAAGTAGATGAACTAAAAATTATAAACACAACTTTTTTTAAAGAAAGAGGGGGTAGGTGAGGGGTCCTGATGTTATTTTTTTATTTGACAGTTCTTAATTATGCTAAGAGTCCAACGTGAAGCATTTTGTAATTATTTTCGTTGTCAATTTTGGAATAAAATGTAGACTTGACTATTTAGAAGAAAAATAGGAGGAATCAAGTCTACAGTATCCTAATGTCTAACCAATCAAATTTAAGCGTCATGACCCCATCGAGGTATTAGACAACGAGGGAGCATGCCAAGTAAAAGACTGCCTGTTAGATAGCCACTGAACTCTGTACAAATCATCCCAGGGGTTATATTATTTAGTATCAAAATGTTCATCATTGAGTACATATGTTGTTCAATAAAGGTAAAAATATCCCTAGTGGCGCAATTTGCAATTGAGGCCTTCCAGTTACAATAACTGAAATGAATTTAAAAATATTGGAAGTTCGGAAAAAAAGTATATTTCAAAATGAAATTTTAGATTTTTTCATATAATTAAAACAGATAACCTTACAATCTTTAAACTGTAGCAAACAT